ATTTAATCAATCTAATTTATCATTTGCCTAATTCCACTCAAAATTCTCGAGTGCCGCGGGGTTTACGAATTCTGATTATTGCAATTCAAAATGAGCTTCAAATTTGTTTTCCATTTTGGGCATTACATTATTATTGATATTGTTATTAAATGGTCTTTGACTGCTATTTTTGGCCAGCGCCAGGTAGAAGCTTATGGTATCTGATTTGTTCTGTTGTTTTCTATTTTTTACCGCACACTTTTCGATTAGACGTTTTTAGGAGGTTCTAAGGCCAAACCCCTATGGGTGTCTCTTTTTTTTGGTCTTGTTGTTATTAATCGAAATTTTTGCCAATTCATTATGCCGAATCGCTTTCGGTTGGCTCAATTGGTTTTTAAATGGAATAATTTAATTAAGAATTTGGAAAAAAATTTGTTTGCTGTCTTAGGGGATTACTTCACTCTTTGTTTGGTTGCCCTGTTCGATAAGTTTATTGGCTTTCAAAAGCATTTAGTCTTTTTGAATTATATACACAATGTTAAACACTATAAAGTATATGATTATATGTATTTAAAATGGTTAATAACAAGTTTTTATAAGCTAATTTGTAAACTTTTAGGCCAATCTCAAAGCAAGTGGAAAAATGAAAAACAAAGCATAGACAGCTGCATTTATGTAGTGAACCCAAACTAACGAATTCTAAGCACCTACCAAGGCAAACACTCGAAGAGGACGTGCCATGAAAAGAGCAAAAAAAGGTGGAAGTACGTGTACTCTACCTCTGCAGTACCCACTCTATAGAGTAGGTACTCCACTCCGCAGTGTGTGGTATCCAGCGGTGCACGGCAGGTGTGATAAAAAGAACCCGAAAGATACAATTGCGGCGTGAATTACCCGCTGGCCAGGGGAATGGCAATGGAAGATAGCACGCATAATTCAAACGAGCCCCAAAGTCAAACAACGTGATAAGCAATTCACGAACACTGGGCGAAAAATTACAACTACGTTTTAGCCTATTAATATTTATGTAAGGCCCCAAAATAGTATTAAAAAACTATAACTGGAGTTCCTAACTGAAAACTTATATGATTTCTCTACTCTCGACTTATTCTAAGAGTTTGCTAGGTTTATTTTTCGAATATTTTCTTTTCTCTAAGCCCTGAAAAATATAATTACATACTTTACATAAAAACTACGACCATTTTAAAGTATAAGTATTGATGTAAGGTCCCAAAATGGTATTGAAAAACTATAACTGGAGTTCCTAACTGAAAACCTAAATGATTTCTATACTCTCAACTTGTTATAAGAGTTATCTAGGTTTAATTTTTGGATATTTTATTTATTTTAAGCCCTGTAAAATATAGTGACATACTTTGCATGGAAATTACAGCTTCATTTTAAGGAATGAATATCAATGTTAGGTCCAAAAATTGTATGGAAAAACTTTAACTGGAGTTCCCACTGAAAACCCATACAAGTTCTGTGCTCTCGACTTTTTGCACGAGTTTTCTAGATTTATTATACCCGTTACTCGTAGAGTAAAAGGGTATACTAGATTCGTCGGAAAGTATGTAACAGGCAGAAGGAAGCGTTTCCGACCCCACAAAGTATATATATTCTTGATCAGGATCACTAGCCGAGTCGATCTAGCCATGTCCGTCTGTCCGTCTGTCTGTCCGGATGAACGCTGAGATCTCGGAAACTATGAGAGCTAGGCTATTGAGATTTGGCGTGCAGATTCCTGAGCTTCTTACGCGGCGCAAGTTTGTTTCAGTAGACTGCCACGCCCACTTTAACGCCCACAAACCGCGAAAACCTGTGACGCCCACAATTTTTATGCTAGATACAAAATTTTAACTGAAATGTATTCGCCTAGTCATTACCTATCGATTGATCCAAAAAAAAATTTGACACGCCCACTCTAAAGCCCATAACGCTTAAATCTGTATACCGCCGGTAGGTGGCGCATTTTAATCTCGCTTTGCTACTTGCATATCTCTATTTAGCTGAGTAACGGGTATCTGATAGTCGAGGTACTCGACTATAGCGTTCTTCCTTGTTTTTTTTTGTATTCATGACTTTACCACTATTTGTTCACAGTGCCTTCAAAGACCGACTGACTGACTGGCAGTCCGAGTGTCTGCTGTCTACTTTTCGTCTGTGGGCCTCTTCAGCACCTGAGCACTTTAAAGTTCAAATCTTTTGACACACTGGGAGCTCAGTTGGCGGATGCTAATGACACACGACTGACACAAAGAGGCTTTGCAGCAGACACACAGAAATTCAGAAAGACATTCACTGGGAGCCAACCGGTTGCCAATTTGAGAGAGCTTCAAAGGCCCGGGCCCATGGCGTTTTCCCCCATTAAAGGTTATGCGACCCAGGCGATCCGGGCGCACTTTTAAGGTGCGTCTCCCAAAGGCCGTATAGCCGTCCTGTTGCGCCAAAAATGGCAATTGCCATATAAAACTTATTCGAAAGCGGCAACTAACGAACGACCGACGACCGCAAGAGTCAAAGTACGACTGTGGAGGTTCTTCAGTGTCAGTGACTGCCCCCGACTGTTTTTTAATATCACTGCGACAAATAATGGTTCTAAGATTGATAACCGAACATATAGTTAACTTACTATAATAATAATAAAACTCAAGAATCTAACTTTTCCTAAATTTTAGTAGGATATTGTAGCTAATGGAGGTAGATACCTTTTTAATTGGCATATATTACCTACAATATAATATTTTGAATGTAAGCTGTTCATAAAGAAAGCTGATATTATTCCATTTTATTATAAAAACCAATTAATAATGTTAAATAAAATTGCTATGATATGAACTAAAGGTATTTTCAAAATATATCTTGTTATCGGAATGGATCATTCTTGAGCAAAGAACTTAATATCAAAATTGTCTTAACCCTTTTTTGCTCAGTGCACCCGCCTTGTTAGTTGTCTCTGTTATTTTTTTTCGTTCACAGACATCGGCGAATTGGAAAAGAATGCGAGTGTAGCATCAATAATTTTGGCCTGGGAGCTTAGAGTTCTTGTTTGGTTTCCACGAAAAAGGGTTCAGGAATGCCAGCCGCTGTCAAGGTGGCGTATGCGTGATGTTCTCATTGAACCAGAACAAACACAAATAGCAAATATCAAACAAACTCTAATTGATCTCATTGTTTGAGTTCTAACACCTGATCGCTTGTAAAAGCATTTGTAATATGCAAATTAATATCTTGACTGGCATTTGCATATGTTCGCAATTAATCTTCTCTCACCTAGGTAATTAAAAAGAAATATTTTTTAATTAAACTCGCATTTTATAGTTAGTCTGAGGTGAATAATTATTAACATTTTAATAAGCTTTCCAATTGTGCCAATGAAAAGCTCGTAAAGCCATCAACTCTGACATTCTTATATTGATGAATTGCATGGGTACAACGATTAGTTTATTTTATATAACTGGTAATTAAATTTGTTAAAAGCCACTAACAGCATATTAAAATGTCGTTAAATTTAAAAAGCCCTTGGAAAATACATAATACTAGGTTTTCTTAACATAAACTAATAACTACTATTTTTAATATTTTTATTGCAAAAGATGTGGCTTTGCACAGGTAATTCTTTGAACACCTGCAATTATTTATTTGTGTTTCCAATTGGCCGTCTTCAATTTCGAAATATTGAAATATTTCCCCCCATAAACTGCAATTTTGTAGTCACAAATTGTGTAAAGTAATCCAACCCAGACACGCATGGCTAAATCACAATTATCCGTTGCCAATCTACACGATTTTCTGTATTGAGTTGTCAGTGCCAGTCGAAGTGAGGATATTGGCTGCATTTGGAAAATCCAAATCTGGAGAATCTGACCATAATTCGCAAATAAATTTTTAGCGTTCGCTACATAGGTAAACACGATCTTGATTTTCGTAGACACGATTTATGGATGTCTTGCAGCTGCTGCCTCAGCTTTTCGCAGACTCCTTAATTGTCTGCCGCGACTTGGCAATTATTTATGGGACAGTTTAACAAGGTAATTAATTAGCCACCTTTTCTCGCGACTTTGGCCAGCTTTTCCGCGGAAACACTCTTGGATTTGTGGGAAATCGCTGAGCTGACAAAAACCACTGAGCTAACGAACTACCGAACCGTTTCGCACGAGCTCCGTTCGAAAAATGAAACTGAAACCGGCAGCCGGTAACTCCAAAGCCGCAGAAACCCACAAATTCGTACAGAAAACTTGTGCTAACGAAGTCGCTTCGTGTTGGTTAGCCGATGTTTTCACGATGACGACGGCATGGAAACACCCTCGTCGAATTTTCCATTTTCCGCTGCACTACTGGGCTATCGGAACCCCTGAACACCGTCATCATACCATCATCTAATGGAGTATATGAGATAATCAGCTGTGCATGTTCCACTGCTGTGTGTTTTTATTTACCTTTGGAAACATGATCTCATATCAAGCACTTTCCTTGACAGCTTCTTGCCATGGGTTTCACAAAATATTTGCTTTATATTGGGAAAGGGTTTCGGTTCGACTTTATCTCCCGGTTGGCTTATTGTGGGAAATGTGGACCTTGTGCCAATAGATCTTTGTTTTTGTTTGCCAAAAAGTTCTGAGGCTGCATTCTAATTAAGATTGTATTGTTTGCTTGGGCTACAGATTTTTGTGAATGAGTATTAAGGTAACATAAATATATTCGAGAAATACTTATATTATTGTACTTTGATTAAGGCCTTAATGAGACTTGTTGGTGAGGATACCTAAACCTTTATAAAGATAAAATAAAATGCAGGTCCTTTTTTCCACTTTAAAGTATGTACATAGAACCAATAATCAAGCAGCGCCATAAGGTATTTGCTTAAAAATTTGATCCATACTTTTAATGAAGTTCCTAAAATTGGTTTGTTTTACAGCTCGGAATAAATCCTATGATTATAAATAGCAATTTTCTATAAATGCTGATTTATAGAATGTAAAATTCCCGTAATGCCCCTCAAAAAACTCTTTCTAGTTCAATTTATTTTAAGTTGTCTTGTATTTGGTAGAGCGTTGTTTTGTTTGGACTGTGTCTTTGCAGTGTGCTTTATAATGCCTCATTCGGTTACAATCATAAATATTGTGTGGAAACGAACGGCTAACTCTGAACAATTTGGTGCCGAGGTGGGGTATACGTGGACATCCTGGAGGACATCAGCAATGGCAGGCGGGGCAGACCGGCTTGTCCCCGTCGATGGTGAAGGTTTGTGTGGTGATGGGGTTCTCGCACTTGTTGCAGCGGAAGCAATCGCGATGCCACTTCACATTCATGGCCACCACCGCCGAATCCGTGATGGGCTTCTCGCATTTGGCACACCTGGCGGCGAAAAGGTCCTCGTAGTCCTGCTTGCAGTAGGCCTTGCCGTCCTTCTCGTAAAAGGACTGATTGGCCAGCGGTTTCTTGCAGGCCCCGCCGCAACAGAAGCAATTCTCGTGCCAACTTTCGCCCATGGCGCAGATAGTCCGCTCCAGGATGGGCTTCTTGCAGCCGGCACAGGTGTTGGTGTACCGCTCCACGAAGCACTTGTTGCACACCGGCTCTCCGCTCTGGATGTTGAAGGTGGCGTCCACGATCTGCTCCTCGCAGTGGCGGCACAGGAAGTGCTCCGGATGCCACGTCTTGCCCAGCGCGGTGATCATTCGCTTGGTGATGGCCTCTTTGCACTTGTGGCACACAATGTTTTCGGACATCTTGGCTATGGGATTGTTATCTGCGGGGAAAGATGAGATATCTTTTGTTAGTCTAAAGACAATTTTTGGTGTTCCTGAACTTTTTTAACACTAAAGTTCCGATAGCAGCTTTTTGTAGGACTATCGATACCATCAACATTATTATAAAGTCTTACATAAGTATAAATGCAGCGGACAATGATAATAGCAATTTTCAAGCAAGGAGTTCCTAAAAACCCAGGCAATGTCGAATGCAGACTATAGATTATACTTTTTCCTCCATAAAAATTGTATAGTGGGATCCCAAATCTTACCAGTTTTTTCGTCTATTTACTCCTTTCCTTCTCGCAATGTTTGCCCTTGGCTACCGTTATCTTGCTTCTCTTACGTATCTCCAAAATTTAATGATAATTCCGATTTCCGTTATTCACGTTTCTTTTCTATTCTTTTTTTGGAAGGTTCACACAGAATGATAGAACAACAAAAAAAAGAGCAGAACGGATTCGGACAAAATTTACTACTATTTTTTTGGAGAATTTTGATGATTTTTTTTTTAAATATAGAAAACGAAACGAATGAAAACGTATGAATTTAGCAAGACTCAAAAACTGAATGAGATATTCGATGTGAACGCTTGGTATGTTGTCTGACATCTAAAGAACTTAGAATCAACACCTACTAGACTCAAAAACAAAATTGAATTCCATTCTCAGATTACTTGATTTAGGTATGTTAACTTTTTTAAACTTGATTTATAAAATAAATACTTTCTACAGGTTGGTCTAGTTAGTTTTATTCATTCTAAACTTAAAACTCCGAGCTCGGATTAGTTTCCTTGATATACTTTTTCCCTTACAAAAAATGTTAAAAGTTTATACAACATAAATATTATTTATTGGTGGTGGTTATTCATTCTATCTTGATTATTTATAGTCATTTTTTCTTTGAAATTCAAGCTTTTGAATTAGTCACACCAAAAACCATTACCAAATTGCCTTAAGATTGATGGGAATGGGGATGTCTTCCGCTTCTAAGGGTGACTTCTCTCAAACAAGCGGTCGGCAATTCCTCGAAGGCGCTGCTAAAAATGTTTGCAATTAATGAAATGTGTTTCAAACGTATTTATTAAAAAATTTAATTAAAGCAAAAATGCTAAGGAACTTCCGCTTAGTCGGCAATTAACAGCGGCTACACATGCGTGGAAGTGGCAGGGGAGGCATGGTGGGTGGTGGTGGTGGTCTTCTTCAAAGGGCTCACCCACCCACACAACCCCCAAAAGAGCCATCGTTTTGAGGATCCACTGCGAAAATTGGATACCAAAGGGATTTTACTTATAAATATGATAATTAGTAAGTAATGCGGGCTGGATATCTTCAATTTCATACACAACTGTTGATTATTATAAGCAAACCAAAGAGAATCACTATGGTATTTTCCTTTTCCGGGTGTGGTCAATAGTCATTATTTACAGTGACTGCCTGAAACTATTCGGTTTTACCAGGAACTTAAATTTTATTTAGTAATATTTTTTTATGTAGGATATATAAAAGAGGCGTTTCATCCTATTTATGACCTTTTACTTTGGATTCTTTTAACTTTAAGGATCCTTATAAAAGCAATTACTTTACTTTCATACATAATATATATATATTTGGGGAATATTAGCTATATTTTTTATCCTTTTTTATGAAATTTATTAAAAAAATAAATATTTTTTATCAAAGAACTAATAAAATGTCAAGGCTCACATTGTTTCTTTTATCTCAAGGACTTTAAATATATGTATATCTTTAGTTCAAATTAAGATGGAACATATTTATTTTAAGACTAATTCTAGTGTCTTAGATAGCTTTTTATTTAATTACTCTATATTTTTTTCAGTGCCTGTGCCACTTCTATTGTTCCCTTTCCGATGGCCGCTTGGTGGAGCACAGCATTGTTTGTGGTCGCCACGCAGTGGGTGGTGCGGAGTCCTGGGTGGAACTGTCGGAAAAACTGGGTGTGGGTGTCCTCGGCGAGAGGACATGTCACAATTTGGTTTGCGCTTTGATGCGTTGCAAGGAATTCGAAATTGCAGCCCCTTTCGGGAGCCATTTGAACGCTTTGCGGACGAGCTAGTTGTGTAAGTCGCAAGGGGAATTTGTGTCAGGCGTCTGTCTGCGTATGCCAAAGTGCGTGCCCAGCTCGAATCCTCATCCTCATCCACATCCTTGTCGTAATCCAGATCCTCATTCCCATTCCCGTAAATAGGTTAGACCACACATAATTATTTTATTAAATACCTAGCATTCGCCGTGTAAATGCGATAATTGCATTTGGCTTTCGCACTTTCTATAATAATTGCTCAAAGTGGCACAACATTTTTTGGCACGTTTGTGGGACAAGTTCAAAGAGTCGAGGAGTTGCTCCTTTGGGGCCACATAAATATATCCTTCAAACTTTCCCGTAATTGCAAACGCAGTTGCATGACCCACAATAATTTATTTCGGCTCTTGACTGCACTCGGGTGGTTTTTTTCGTGTGAGTAAATTTAATTAGTCGCAAGATTAGATTAGGCCAAGTGGGAAAAAGGGCCAAAGTTGCTCCAAAAAAAGGGGTAACAGTCTATCACAAAACCGTCAGCAGTTGGACAATTTGTCAGAAGAGATTTAGGGGTTGGAGAGTGTGACACACTTGCGGAGATAAACTGTCTGTGGTTTATTGGGTAATTTCGGATTCGGCTTGTAAATTAGACGGAAATTGAGGTTGACTAACATTATGTTAACTAAAAACCAGAAAACGAATAAATATGAAGCAAAATAGATAGCAATTTTCTAGAAACGCACTCTGTTAATCATTTTAAAAACTTTTACTATTATATTTTTGAAATAAAGGTAAACAATCCAATCACTTGAATGTTTATCTAAAACATAAGTTATTTTAATAAAACCAATAATTAGGTATATAGTTAAAAAATGGAAAACAAAAAATATAAACATCCAAAAAATGTTAAATATATTTTAAAGTAATAAATTAGATTTTTTAGTAAAACAAAGAAAACCCAAAAGGTATATCAAACAAATTAAACATATCCACAATCTTTTGATTTTTTTTTAAACTTGACTGAGTGTGTAAAAATATACACTTTAAAATATGATCATAATTTTTTTGGATACTTTATAATATGTGTTTTTCACTATTAAAGACTCTGTCAACCCATATAACTTAAAGTATCCTTCCCTTTTGACCCCAGAACGGGAACAGGATCAAAAAGGGGCAATGACAGGAACGGGAGTCGCAATCAATTACGCGACATTTTAATTATGCATCCAGGGAATGGATACAGGATACGGATACAGGATGCAGGATACAGGGCAAAAAGCTCATTGAACTTTGATTTGGGCCATTTCCAGAGTCCCGTCAAAAGTCAGTTGGTCAAATAGGATTGCAAGTAAATTGTTTATTATAGTAAGTACTATTTTAATGGATATAAAAACAGACTAGAAAATAGAAGTATGTACAATTAGAACAAGTGTAACGACTAAATTAACTAAGACTTAGGAACAACACGTATTGGGCTAATCGATGACAATGACCTCTGTCTGGGTATCCTGGGGCTCGAGATCCAATTGCTCCTCCGTCTCCAATTGCGGATGCCAGTACTTGACCTTGTTCTTGTTGCTGGGTTTCTTGGAGGAGATCAGGGTGCGACGTTTCAGACGCTTCAGCTTCTTCTTCTCCCGCTTCTTCATCTTCTCCTGGGCGAAGTCCAGAATGGTGCTCCTGAGTTCCAGGCGGTAGTTCTTTAGGTTACTCAATTCCAGGGCCAGTGGATCAAAAGCGTTGTCTGGAGCACGGTTCTCTTCATCATCATCGTCTGACAGCATGGCACCAAAATCGGTCCAGGATTCGGTGGTTTCTCCAAGATGCTGTTTCTGTAGCTTTAGTAGCTCCTCGGTGAGCAGCAGCTTCGATGTGGCCCACTTCATCAGCTGATGCTTCTTGCAACCAATTTGCTGCCGATAGCTGTACAAGTGAAATGTCAAATTGGGGACTATCTCCTGCGATTCCACCTTTTCAGGTTTCCTGGTCTCCTGATCCTTGGGCGCCACGAACGGAGTGGTGGGCGTGGCATTTGTGGCACGTGCCTCTGTGCAGGACACCTTGCGATCCATGACGTTGCCCATGTTGTTGCTGATCTGAAGACTCGACTCTCTCTGACAGCTGCAATTCCTCACTCCTCAGACTTATATGCCAAAAAGGGTTTACTGCAATATATACGTAGGCTTTTACCTGGCGAGGAGCTTTACCTGCAGTTAAATTAGGGCTGCTTTCTCGTCCCGATTTACAGGCCCAATCGTGCCGCTGTTTTATGGCCCAAAACACCTGGCATGGATTAACGAAGTTGACAAAATTCGATTATTTAAGCATGCTGCGAGTCACAACAGAAATTAAAACCTTTTGGGATTTGTTCTTATAGACTTCCCCACAAAAGGGAGTTACTTTGGTTACTGGGTTATTTCCAATTTTCAGTTGCCAGCTAATGAGCCAACCACGGCTTGTAATATTCGTTGGCTTCGCCTTTATTCTTATAGTCCTCTGAGCTTTATGTTTGCGACTAGAATATCAGTCAAGTCAAGTCGTCAAGGTTCTAACAGTTTGACTTATATATCTTACCTGAACTCAATATAATATTTTGATAGACGAATTAGACGGTAGACGATATATTCGTTTGAACAAAATCTTCAACGTGAGACTTGAGTTGCTCAAGTTGTCATATCCGCTAGACAGATGGAAACTCATGACCTACTGGGATTACTCGTGAATTGGCCATCAGTATTAGCCAACACTTATCCTTTTTGACAAATCATCGGATAATTTAATTTAATTAAAACAAACCTTTCCCACCATAACTCTTTAACTTATTAAATAAGCTGAAAAACAGTACAGAACAGTACAATTTAGGAATATTTTATTCATTTTAACCATATTATTTTATAATAGTAATTTTGGTCAAAAACATAACAAGAATAAAATATATTTCATGTGGTCACAGCTGTTTAAAAAATTCAACAGAAACCAATTAGGGTCGTTCCATTTATATTGCATTTTAACCAACTCAGCAATTCAACAAAAAAGCGAATACCCAGAGTAATTTAAACGCTTTTATACATCGTTAAACAATTTTAAAAGTAGTCTTAATTTTAAAATAAATAAACACCTACATCTTTAAAAATCAAAGGTCAGATACCTCATTTTCAAGACAACTTCAGTACATTCGTTAACGTTTGAGGACCAAATAGTAAGGGTTTCAAATTGTGTTTATCGATTATCTTAAATAGACACAGAATGCTTAAATCATTATCAAAACGATATTTAAACTGGGAAGGAAAATAACTTGGCTCCACATTAACCTCTGCAGCTAAACTCATATAAAATAAACCCACTACATATATGCAGCATTATATGCCCACTTATTCAATAAGTATATTTAAATAAAATATTATGAAATTATTGTGGCTACGATCCTCTAAAAGTCCGACATTATCATCATCTACAAAATATATTATCCTAACAGTTCCCTTTAGCTGTTTCCTTTGAAGGGAATTGCAAATTGGCAGACAATTCTGAAATCGTCTAAGGTACTTTTAAACCATCTGTCGCTTTACAGGTAGAACTTAAGCCATAGGAATTTCTAAGCTGCCTAAAACCCTACCTTTGACCTGCCGAAAAGGACAGTTAAGGTGCAGGTCAAAATATACCTATATCCCTCCCACAATCTACCTATCGCACTATATAAGACCACCAAATCAACCGCATAATTATCACTCACATTCCAACTGTCAAACGCCATGGATCACTATCAGACCACGAATTCCAAGAAGCTGATGATGTTTCGCACACCCAACGAGGAGGAGGCGCTCAAGAACCAGATCTTCATCTTCAACTCGCCAATTGACTACAAGGACCAGCAGCTGATTGTGTATCAAAAGCCAGGGATCCTCAATGGAGACAAGGACTATGGCTACTGTGTGGTCTACAAGCGGGATCATTATGTGCTGAACAATCCGCCCAACTTCAACAGTCCCACAAAGAGGAGCTTCCTTAACGAATGCATCCGCCAGTTGTATCTGATGAACGGCATGGGTCACAAGATGTACTGGAGGACCACAAGTGCGATGGCATTAAGTACACCTGGAGAAGTCTGGCACCAGGTGAACAGTTGCCTGCTGCCGGAAAGACTTACGCCCCTTAAGGAGAGCCTTAAGCGGGTGAAGAGACAGCTCTTCCGTGATCCCAGAGCAGATCGCAAGAATCCAAAACCCCTGAAGGGCAGAGTCTGGGGCACTCAGGTCTTCTGCTTCAAGTCGATGCGTGAGAAGATTGGAAGGAAGTACATCCGCAGGGGCTACCTGACCATTGCCCGTCGGGAGGCCCTGCAAGAGATGATCCGGGAGCACTTACAACGCGAAATGGTCTGCTCTCCGGCCGTCTGCAATACCGTAATCAGTGCTGGTGATGGAATATTCAATGCGAATGCCAGGGTCATCGGTGACATTTGCAGCTACCACAACAATGCGGCCCGTCATCAGCCCGCCGTGGAGTGCCGCCTTACGGCTGGAGAAGCCCGTCTGCGAAACCACGAGGCCTGTCGCCTCACCAACCGGGCCAAGCGACTGGAGGCCTTGTTCATACACGAGCAGGTCCGCCGGGCCGTCCAGAACCACCAGTTCATCCTCGAGGAGTCGGTGCGTTCCATCTACTATGCCAAGGAGCTCTTCCGCCTGATCGAGGATCACGAGGAGTTCGTCTACACGGACAACAAGATACTGGGCAAGATATGAAGGCCCTCTCGTGTCTGGCATAGCCACTAATTTCATCCCTAATGTATTTGTAATTATAAGTTAATGTAAAAATAAATATATTTTAACTAGTAAATTAAAGACCGATGCACTTCCAAATTTGGCAATTTAAGAATTAAAGTGGGAAACAGCTAGAAAAAGTATAAATGTCTTAAAATGTTTATAGAAATGGTGAAAATTTAATACATACATTTAATTATTTTACTCAAAGTCACTTTAAATTGAAAAATATTCGCATACTTGTATGTTTTTTCATATACTTAAAAATATACAAACTCGGTTTCTTTTACAAAACTTTATAAAATTTGAAATACTAACATATACAAAACACGTTTATCGTATAAAAATTTGTTTGATTTTGATTTGAAAAACTATACTTTAGGGTTTTAATGATGTCGACTGTCTGGGGTTACGTCGTCTTTTGTTGCTCTATCAGCTTGGAATGAACGTCCATAAGGCTCTGAAAATAAGTAAAGTATAATCAATTAGAACAATTAATAACTGATGTGTCCTTAGTTATAAATACATTTATATTATTAAATAATAATTATTACGACCTTAACTGACACATTAACTTAACAGATGCAGAATAAGAAAAGTCGTATAATTTTTATCAAGATCCTTAATAAAAATTTGTTTTTTTGCATAAATTTAATTAAATATAAAAAGTCAAGTTAAAAAAAACCATCGCTTTATTTGTTCCTTAAAATTATTTAACATTAATGTAATGCATAAAAAAGGTAATCTTATTTTATGATTTTGTATAATTTTTTTCTATTTTCCGTTTTTGTAAGTTGACGAGTTTTTCTTGTCTTAATTGACATTTTTGATCACAGAGGCAGTTCCAAATTTCACGTTGAAGATCGTTTTTTAAAATAATTCCTGTTTTTAATGCTTTGAATTGGGCGAGTTTTTGTTAGCACAGTTTGATTCTTTTGATCCCAGAGGCAGTTCCGATTTTAACTTTGATAAACCTTTTGTAAAGAAATTTTCAATGACTACGACTTAAAAATAGTTTCGGATACATAAAGTGTGGAGTTTGGTGAAAAAGCAAAACAAATTCGGAAATACTTTACGCAAAATCCGTGTGTTCAGCCCTCCTGTTGGGAAACTTCGTCTATATCTCTGAGAATGCCCTGTGAAATTGTGGGAATGGCCAGACAGCCAGTCGTTAACAAAGTTCTGTTGTTCTTAACAATTATACTAAACCATACAATTTCAACCATGGAAGCCATTATATTACAAGCATTATAGTCTAGGCATGCAAGTTCTTTAAGTCCTTTATAACAACCATACTTTTTTTTTGGCAACATTACAACTGGGATTGGGGAATGTTAAGCCAACACCTTCAGAAGCTACTTAAGCACCCAAATTCCAGTTCATCTAAGCCCAGTTTACTATAAAATCGACGAAATCGTGGGAGGGCATACCTTGAAGTATTTCACGGTCTTTACTCTCAACTCCAATGTGGCATCCTCGTCGCAGATCATCAGGGTGTTGGCATGCTGCTGGAAGGCACTCACGGTCCACATATGGTTCACACCCTCCTCGATGGCCTTGTACAAGGCAAAAGCCTTGTGGGCTCCTGTGATCAGGATCATCACCTCCTTGGAGTCCATCACAGTGCCAACGCCCACGGTTAAAGCCTGTTTGGGCACCTTGCTCATATCGTTTTCAAAGAAACGGGCATTCGCTTCCAGGGTATCCTGCGCCAAAGTTTTCACCCGGGTCCTTGAGACCAACGAGGATCCCGGTTCATTGAAGGCAATATGCCCATCGGGTCCAATGCCACCGATGAACAGTTCTACTCCTCCTGCCTCGCGGATCTGATCTTCAAACTTATTACACTCGGCTACCAGATCGGCTGCATTACCATCCAAAATGTGCACATTTTTAGGCTCAATATCGATGTGCTTGAAGAAATTGTGCCACATGAAGTAGTGATAGCTTTCGTGGTGATCCCTGGGCAGACCTGAAAAGTTTAAGAAGATTTTATTATAAATCGATTCAAGTAAAAGCATTTTAAAATCAAGGCATCAATCTAAATGCCTATCTCCAGATCATAATAATTAAATCCTGATTTTAAAGAGCTTTTTGAGGGTATAACTATTTTAAGCTACGACTCACCCACATACTCATCCATATTAAAGGTTTTCACATGCTGGAAGGATACCTTGCCCTGTTTGTGAAACTCAATCAGTTCTTTGTACATTCCTAGGGGAGTCGATCCCGTTGGCAGGCCCAACACAAAGTATCTGAAAAGTAGTAAATGTTAATAAAAGTAAAATATATTTTATATGTAAATGCTTTACTTATCGGCACTTGGCTGGAAGTCATTTATCCGTTTCATCACATATTTGGCCGCCCACTTGCCAACGGAATCGCTTGTCTCCAATATCACCAGTCTCATTTTTGTTTAGCTGAAAGCGTTTTCAGAATATAAATAACTTTTAAAATAGAGAAGGAATAAATAAACAAATAAAACAATAAAAAAAATGGGAAGTGATTAAATGAATATTAGATGAAGTTGGATTAAAATTTGAAGAAAAGGCTTAATATATTAAACTGTATTGTGTTTTAGTACTGAATTTCACCCGTACCTTTTAAAGAATAACTGGATAACAGTTGTGAAGAAAGAAAAGCAATGGGTGTTCTAAAATGGAAAACAAAGGCCTTATCGCTTTAGAACAGTGACAATGCAAACGTATGTTGGCACTGCCAAGGATTAAGATTAGATGTTGATATTGTAGGATAAGATACAAGAGTAATTCCTCCCATTCAACTTTGTTTTTCCTGTAAATTTGCAGGGTACTCAGTGATATTCGCTTGTTTATTGTAGTACTCGGCTGATAAGCAATTATTGACAATTAACCCATTTATGGCGTTGTCCCCACGGGAAACACTTTCGTTCTCACTTGGCAACACGAATCGTACTTGAATCTATTCATAATGCTTGGCTACTCACCTTCAAAGCACGCGAAAGCAAACAGCTGCTTACTTATTATTATTATTATATATTATTTTTATTGCTCGCTCTGGCGATTTTGGGAGTGTCGCTTATTTCCAATTTGAGCTGCGAACTGAGACTGTTCAATTGTTCAATTCGAACGGCAATTTATGCAGCGATTAGCTCGAGTTTGAGTTCGTACTTGCGGTTGCGGTTGAAATACTCTCTTCTGCTGATAAAGAGAATGTACATGTGGTAATCGCAAATGCAGTTGGCAACCTTGAGATACTTTTTGCTATCGTTATCGCCGGTCGAACGGTCAGGGTTTAGTGGTTAGCTTCTACGCTCTGCATTTTCCAGTTGAATGAACTTCTACCTCGCATCTTTCGCTCTTGAGTGTTCTATCGATATTGTGGATACTTTTGTATCTCTCAGTTTAATGAAGTCCCACTACAAGCCGCATCTTTCGCTCTTGAGTGGGTTTGTTATGCATCTGAAACTCCCTTTCCGCATTTGTATCTTTGGCGCTCTTGAGTGTTTTATCGGCCAGAGTTGACACCTTGTTCGAAGTATAAAACAAACAGGAGCTGAAAGTCCGGTTAAATTTTCCACTTCTTGCGCCCCTCGAAATTCACTCAAATCTCTCGCACTTAAAAGTAACTCAAAATTTAAAAAATTTGAGCATTGCCCGCATTGCACATGTTCATATGTATGTATGTACTGACGCAGAAAAAATTAAATATCTAAAAATAACTCAAGGCGGCGAATGTATATGTGAAACAAACGAGGAAAAAGGGCCACCAGGCGGCGAAAGTGAAATGTATACCCTACAAACCCAAAGTTCTACAAAGCATATTGGTTTTGACAAGAATATTAAATGAACAATTAAAGCAAATTAATTTTTTTTATTTAATATTATTTCGCTCTCACAAATTGAAAACTTTATTTATTCGATTTTTTTATTAAACATGGTTTCTTTATTTTTATTATCAATTTATTTGCAATTACATACATAAACGTAGATGTACTTAAAATTTAGTGTTCATCAGTTTCTTTTAAATAGTTTGAGTGGGCGTTGAATTTGTTTGGCCGGCGTAAAACGCGACCACGCCCACTCATAAAAAAGCGACGGATCGCTGAGCCGCTATATGTTCTCTTTTTTTATAATTGTTGTACATTCTTCTTCTCGCTGTAGTTGCTGTTGTTATTGTTGCTTGTCCGGTGAAATTTTTGCAGGAAGCTCAAGAACCGGTTTGATTCGGGAGAAAGCGGTTTTTTTGGGGATGGGGATCGTAAACCCTATGGCCATGGCTAAAAAAGATATATTGCTGGCTTCTTGTCATTTCCGTAGGCGTGTTTCTGTGTATAATGTATATTGTATTTTATGCTGATTGTACAAAAAATACTTAAATAAATATGTCTGTTGTCAGGAGCATCTTTTAGTTAAATCTCTTGACCTGTATTTTTATATTCCCTTTCATTTGCTCGTTGTTTTTTGTAGTTTATGGTTAGTTAATCTTGGATATTGCTTAAGAACTATTTACTCATAGAGAGAGAGGGTGCGCAAGTACATCGAAAATATTGTTTTCTTGCAATATTTTCGAAGTTCTTGGCGTCACAAATACAAAAGGTGAAAGTGCTATGTAAATTCTATGTGGCATAGATGAAATTCAAGACTCCAGTTTATGCCAAATAAAGATTACAATAGTTTGCTTACGTGAAAACATAAAACGTGAAAATTACGTTGTCAATGGAACAATAAACTATAGTTTCATACAAAGTTAGAGAAGATTTTGAAGAAAAACGAAACGTAAATTAACTGAAATCGGCTTAAGTAAATCTACACAAATGATTTTTGATTAAATTACTGGCCTTGTGGCCAACAAAAATAACTTATCTGATTATTAATTTTCTGTACCTCTGCGTTTTTGTGGGTTCTTGTTATGCTTTCCGCTTATTGTTAATTTGTCTGGTTCAGAAAAAAGTTTGTGTTTTTGTGTGTGATATTACATAATGGCGCACTTTTCGCCGGTCTGCTGGGGATCACCCTGCTGATGGTACAGCTGCTCGTTGCCATCAACGGCGCTCACGCTGCGCCGACGACTCAGACGGGAGGAGGAAGTGTGTTGGGACACCACACGTTTGATGCGATCCAGATTGGCCACAGCCTCGCCCTCGGCGTTCAACAGAATCGTCCTGGTGTTGTCGGCGGCGACCCACTTCTGCGACTTCATCACCAGACTTGACGGCGGCTCGTGCGAGGCCTTGGTGTCTGCCGACCAAACGGTCACCAAGCCATTCGGTTCGATCTTCACAGAGCGGTGGAACTTGTATGTGGTCGATGGACCGCCCTCGTTAATCAGACGCTGCAGCTGCCAGCCACCGATGGACACCTCGTCACTGCCCTTGTTGTACAGCTTCACAAACTTGCCCTCGGGATCGATCTCCTTGATCTCCACGTTGCCCTTGGCACTGGCCGACACATAGTAGTCGGACACGCTGCGATCTTCAGACTCCTCGACCACAGCGCGCTTGCGCTTCATGGCGCCGGAGGGCGTGCGACGTGAGGGCGTGGCACGGGTGGAGGTGCGCAGCGACTGGCTGAAAGACTGCACGGTGGCAGTGTTGGAGGCTGGGGCGATGTTCAAGCGAGCCTCCTCGCCGACCAGCAGCTTGTCGTAGGCAGCGATTTCCAAATCCAGGGAGACCTTGCAAGAAAATAGATTTTAGTACAAATAGAACTAAGTAATAAGGGTTTCAATCTACCTTGATGTCCATCAGGTCCTGGTACTCCTGTAGTTGCTGCGTCATCTCTTCCCGCAGTCTGATAAGCTCCTTCTCGAGATGGGCCACCTCCTGGCCGTGGCGCTCACGATCGTTGTCCAGTTGCTGCTCCAGCTCGCGTATGCGTACATTAAGAATGGCATTGGTCTGCTCCAGATCATTGATCTTGGCATTTAGACCGTCGATACGGACGCGAGTAGAGCGCAACTCTTCGATGGACTTGTGCGTCGAATTGGATGTGCGTGCAGCGGCCTCTTGCAGGCGACGGATCTTGTCCTCGTACAGCGATTCGATGTCATCGCGATTAATGCGCATCTGCTCCTCGTACTGGGCGCGCAATTCCTGTAGCGACTGCTTGAGCTTAGCATCGTACTCGGAGCTGAGGCGTCCGTCGATCTCGCTGTACTCCGTTTGGCGGATGCGGCGCGACTCGTTGATCTCCTGCGAGTGGATTTGATCCTTGAACGAGAGTTCCTCGCGCAGACTCTGGATGGTGTTCTCCAGATCAACGCGCGATAGTGTCTCCGCCTCCAGGTTCTTACGTGTCTCGTCTAACTGCTTTCGTAGGCGTTCCAACTCCTTGACTGCTTCGTTCAGTTCGTCGGTAACTTTCTTGCGGTCAGCATTGGCCTGGTTGAATTTATTGCCCAGCTCGTTGGCACGCGACTCGAACATTCGAGCATTGCCTGCAGGGTAGAAAAATCAATCAATCAATATGGGCTCCTGTTTAAATTGGAGGCAAAATAGGGTGGATTTGATCACTGCCACTGAAGATCACTGGGGTTGAAAGTAGTCTAAGATATTCATCAGAAATGGTTTGAAATACCAGTTTGGGAATAACAAAATTTACTACGCCTTTTTTATGTTATGAATCAAAACTAATGATATCATATTTAGGAATAATATTTAGTTATTGTTATTAAGTGATAATGTGTTTCCATCTTGCTTTTACTATAGATCTGATATTTAAGATAAGTTTAATTTATAGGTCTAACTTTGTTTTAATGATGTGGTATGATATTAATATGAAATGCAACTGGTTTTTTAGCCCGCAATGGGTGGATCACTCACCCTCAGCGGTGCTACACTCCTTTGTTTTCTTGTCCAGCCGGCACTTCAGCTCCTCGGTCTCCTCCCAAAGACGCTTGATGTCGATCTCGCCACGGGCACGATCCCGTGCCGTCTCATCCAGAAGACGACGCGTCTCCAGCAGCTCAGCCTCGAAAATATTCTTTATGTTGGTGGTCTCGCGGGTGACCGTGTCCCTGGTGGTCTGCACCTCGATGCTGAGGCGGGAGTTCTCCGTCTCCAGGTTGCGCACTCGGTCGATGTAGGTGGCCAAGCGGTCGTTTAAGTTCTGCAGCTCCACCTTCTCGGCCACTCGAGAGTGGCGGGTGGGGCTCAGGGGGCTGGAGGCCGTCTGCGAGTGGCTGGTCGGCGGCTGCTGATGGTGCTGCTGGGGTCCCGCCGACGGGGCTCGCGGGGTGGAGGTGCTGCCGGGCTGCGGCGTGGCGGTGCCAGCACGTCGGGATTTGCTCGACATGTTCACGCTACAAAACAGATAAATGTACAGAACAAACACGTGAGATTTTGGTGGCTATGACCCACTTAAGAAAGCACAGAAAAAAATTATAATAACTAGATTCTTACATTTCTAATATATTTTAAAAAGGTTAATTACTATAAGCTAACACGGGATTCAAGTTAAATAATTGATCTTTGAATTTAATATTTTTGTTGCTTCTCTGTTTTAAACAAACTGCCACATACGACAAATATTTACTTCTTTAATGACTTTATTGTTTCAGCCTACTCTTATTTATTTTAAAGCACAACTCTTATATTTTGTTATTTATTTTTTCTTTCTGTGTGGGTTATGTTATTTTTGCGCCCTGATAAAATTCCAAACAGAAAACGAAAACGAAAGAGGGGAAACGCACAAAACGCTCAAAAACAGAAGCTAAACGAGTTTCTCACGCGATTCTCTCTATCTCTCTCTGCCGCTGTCACTCACAAACACACACGTACGCCACTTTTCACTCAAGCGACTGTACTAAAGCGGACGAGGAGAAAAAAGTGAGTTTGTCGGCGTTTGTTTATGGGCGTGGGGCCAAAAGGCGGGGCTAATACGAATTTAATCAATCGCACCACTTTACTAATCCGGGCGACTAACTTTAACCGATTTGATAAGCTCGCGGAAGTTGCACAATATGGCGGTTTTAATTCAATATTTGCGGCATTTTCACACAGCTGCAGGCAGGGGGGTTGATTCGATTTCGTGCAAACTCCACCGCCACTTTTTGTCGGCGTTTATTTGGTCAATTCGCCTTGTTTTCCACAACCTCTCATTGTTTATGGGCAGCTACGCAACTCACCTGGTGATTTGTAACGAACGCAAGAAGCACAAATAGGAAAATTAAATAATTTTTCTGCTACAAAACGCGGCGTCGCTGAAACTTGTAATCGAATCGAGATTGTTGCGATGGCTTTAGAGATGGCCCTTCGTTAGTATAAATCGATAACCTTTATGCCTGGGTGGTGTGACCAGATTGACCGTAGATTTGTTACTAAATAATGACTTTGTTACCGAGTTCGTAGTTTTTTTTACAAATTTGAAAATTTAGAAATCAACTTTTTACTTTAGTTACAATATTTATTACTTTATTTAAGATCGTTTCACTACTCTCGTTCTTTTTAGCTACCATCAAAATTTTCAGGCTATTATCTGTTTTCCATTGCTAGCCCGGCAATTATCGATAATAAGTCGAATATTCTCCCAACTCTTCGGTCACATTGCTCTGTTTTTTCTCTGCTCTGCGTCACGTTAAAGTTTTTTAATTGTAAATTTCGCTTTAATAGTTGTATTTTAAAGTGAAAAACGTGCACAAAAGGTAGGTTTGACTTGCGGAACTCCACTGCAGTTGATAGAACGATCGCTTGCAATGGGTATTTCGTTATATTTTGAAATACATGTAATGCGGTGCGGTGAAAAAACAAGATGGCGGAGGGTACGCCGGCACCGGTTCCGCAAAAAAAAGCGGCATTTTCATTTACAAACACATGTAACTTACAAAATCCCACGCGTTTTTCTCCACAGCCCTCACATTCGTCCTTATAGCCAAGGTCTAGATAAAAAGAAAACAATACGCAAAAATGGCCGATAATGACGATCTTTTGGACTACGAGGATGAGGAGCAGACCGAGACCACTGCGGTTGAGAACCAGGAGGCACCCAAAAAGGATGTCAAGGGAACCTACGTGTCTATTCACAGTTCCGGATTCCGCGATTTCCTCCTGAAACCGGAGATCCTTAGGGCCATCGTGGACTGCGGCTTCGAGCATCCCTCGGAGGGTGAGTACCATTACCCGCCACCCTGTATCAAAGGTACAGTCTCTAACTATCCATACCTGTCTTGCAGTTCAGCACGAGTGCATTCCGCAGGCCGTTCTGGGCATGGACATCCTCTGCCAGGCCAAGTCCGGTATGGGCAAGACTGCCGTCTTCGTTCTGGCCACGCTCCAACAGCTGGAGCCATCGGACAACAACACCTGCCACGTCCTGGTCATGTGCCACACCCGAGAGCTGGCCTTCCAGATCAGCAAGGAGTACGAGCGCTTCTCGAAGTACATGCCCACAGTCAAGGTGCGTTTACTATGTGTAATCTAAGTTTTAAGCGTATCCCTATATTATCGACCTATTAGGAATTATAGCTGATTTTGCAGATAATTGGTCGTCGGTATTTAGGTCAAAATTCTAGTTTATTCATCATTACACGAGATAATGTTATGAAGTATATTAAGACCTGACCTAATAAATTGTGTTTTTTCTAGGTGGCCGTGTTCTTTGGTGGACTCGCTATTCAGAAGGACGAGGAGACCCTCAAGAGCGGAACCCCCCACATTGTGGTGGGCACCCCTGGCCGAATTCTGGCCTTGATTCGCAACAAGAAACTGAACCTGAAGCATTTAAAACACTTTGTTCTAGACGAGTGCGACAAGATGCTGGAGCAGCTGGGTAAGCTAAACATGTCACCAAATCTAATGAATCCTTACTTATAATAAAATCCGCCTTTCAGATATGCGTCGTGACGTTCAAGAGATTTTCCGTAGCACGCCGCACGGCAAACAAGTGATGATGTTCTCTGCCACATTGAGCAAGGACATTCGTCCCGTTTGCAAAAAGTTCATGCAAGATGTAAATATCAACGTGTTCATAACCAAAATGCTCGTACTTCTCCACCTCGCATCCACCGCTATCACGACAATTAGTTATTATTTTGTTAACGCCACCCGATATCGAATTCTCGATCTCGATCCCCCATATAAGCCAACCACCATCTTGCAAATGGTTAAACGCGTAAAGCCAAACGTCCACCACTCTGTGAGCATAACTCGAATCGAAAAAATTAGTTGATAACTGCCAGACACCATTTTCTAAATGGTTAAACGCGTGAAAAGCAACCGTAAAGAAAGCATAAACAACCAGTAACCGCTGAACCAATCAATTAAAATCCCACTGATTTAACAAACCGACGATAGGAAAATGCAAAACCCAAATAAAACTACGTAAAACAGCAAAACACGCCGACTGGCCGATGAGACAAGGTGAATCCAAAGCGAATGCGATGCGATATGCCGCTCATCTGTAATCCGCACACTTCTCAGAGCGATCGTCGATCCTCGGGAGCAGTTCAGAGTCTAGTTGATGAGATGTGGTGGTAGCGTGGCCGTATGTAGAAAATTCTAAGCATATTGTTGTATGTTCCGAGGCGAGCCTAGTCTTAGTACGATTTCCGTTTACCCCTTTTAATTGTTTCCTTTAAAATGCGCCACATTCTTTTTCCGAAATCTAGCCTATGGAGGTCTACGTCGACGATGAGGCCAAGCTGACGCTGCACGGACTGCAGCAGCACTACGTCAACCTGAAGGAGAACGAGAAGAACAAGAAGCTGTTCGAACTGCTCGACGTGCTCGAGTTCAATCAGGTAAGTAACCTTAGGCTTAACTATTTAATTCTTACAAACTTTTTTATTAAAACTAACTCATTTTTCAGGTGGTAATCTTTGTGAAATCCGTACAACGTTGCGTGGCTTTGTCCCAATTGCTGACGGAACAAAATTTCCCCGCTATCGGCATCCATCGTGGCATGACCCAGGAGGAGCGTCTGAACCGCTACCAGCAGTTTAAGGATTTCCAGAAGCGCATTTTGGTGGCCACCAACCTCTTTGGTCGTGGCATGGACATTGAGCGAGTGAACATTGTGTTCAACTACGATATGCCCGAGGATTCCGACACCTACTTGCATCGCGTGGCCCGTGCTGGTCGCTTCGGTACCAAGGGATTGGCCATTACCTTTGTTTCGGACGAGAACGATGCCAAGATACTTAACGAAGTACAGGATCGTTTCGATGTGAACATCAGCGAACTGCCGGAGGAGATTGATCTGTCCACATATAGTAAGTTGCAGAATACTTCTCCTATCCAACTCAATACTAATTGGTTTTCTTTTCCAGTTGAGGGACGCTAGAGCTCGAAAGTGCATGATAATCAGAACAGAACATTACTGCGTAAGACTAAAATGCACTTCGAATAGATACAAACTAAAACCTTTTATAAAACTCTACATTATAACTAAATAAAAATTATTCAGACAATGTGTTGACGTACAAAAGTGGAAAAACTTGTAAGGCATTTATTTTGGGATTGGAAATGAAAGGATAATGACTTGATTTCAATTTAAATTCCCAATTGCCCTACATTTAAATTTCTGTTTAAGCGAAATGATTAATTTTTCTTTTAAATATTTACATTGATAGAGTAAATGGTTTAGTTGATTTCCTTTTGGAACTTTTAGAAAAAGGCAATGCAAATAACATTACGATTACTAGTATGTACATTAAAAATAAACAAAAGTCCCTAAATCTAGGGAATTCAAGAAGCTTGATGTGTTTTTATGTTGAATTTGAATTCCGGAACACTTATAGATAGTTTAGTGTGTCCGTTTCAGGACATGCGCAATGGCTCGGAGCTTCCGGCAGCTGCATTGCGACAGGAAGGGGAAAGGGGTCGCAGGGGTTGCCCAAGGAGGTCGAAAAAACAGGAGTCGAAAAACAAAACCAACGACCAAACAATGTGAGAAAATGCACGCGTGCGAAAATGCTGCTGAAAAAGTACGTGAAAACGCGGCGTAAGGTGAAGATCCTTCTCCTGCTGGCCATCGTCGGTCTACTGGTCATCACCATCATAGTGCTGGGTTCCAGTGGACGCAATGCGGCCATCGAATTGCTGCTGGACGAGAGGTTTATTGCCCGAGCCTACAAGCCCGGTGAGCAGCCTCAATTGCCGGAGAAGCCACTGGCAGCGGCTGTAGCCCTGCTCCAGCCACAGCGGGAGAACGGAGTGATTGTTCCAGAGAAGTACGATGAGCAGAAGATCAAGGAGCGCATCATCCAGAGCAAAATAGATCTGATGAAGCAGCAACAGCAGCGGGACCACGATGCGGAGCAGGCGGTAATATGCAAATGGAGCTTTAAGCCATTTTAAAATATTAAATATTCCTACTTATATTTATTATTAGTTTAAATATCTTAACGAAATATTAGAAATATTACGAATTTTACCCAGCAACTTTTATAGATTTAAATCAATTGGTTTGCTATTACGGCATAGATATTTTAGAAATAGTTGAATTTTTAAAATGAGTAATGGATAATAGAGTTTATTATTTTTAAAATTTATTTAAATTTTTATGTTGTCTGAAGATAGTTAATTTTAAATATTTAACTATTAAAATACGAATTAAATTTTCCTAATTCATCTCATGGATATTTTTACGAATACTTTCAGTCAAGAACCACTTTGGATGTGGTAATCACAGCAGTGCATATTTTCTATACAGCCCCAGTGCCATGGTACAAGTCCAAGAAGCCACCTCCGCCGCCAGCGGAGCACCCAAACGACATTCCACTAACAACTCCGCGACCAGTCAGGATTCTCAACACAGCCTTTTATCCGGCGTTGGGTTTGTACAAACCCAGCACTTCGCTGCTCTCCCAGCACTTTGAAAACATTCGGAGCTGTGGCATTGGAGTGCTTATCCTGAGCTTCACCGGCGGCAAGCCGGCGGAGGCAGCTCTGCTCCATCAGATCCTGGAACTGGCTCCTCAGCACAATCTGAGCGTTACCTTCGAACTCAGTGTGGCCGGAAATCAGAGCGTGGAGTATGTGCGGCAGCAGCTTCAGGAGATTGCCACATACTCCAGTCTTCCTGGATTCTACAAGGTCTGGAGTCAGTCGAGAGGTGTCTCCATGCCAGTGCTCTACGTGAGCAATGCCTACAAGTTGAGTGATAGCCTGGGCAGGCTGCTCTGTCGAACGCCTTCTCTGGTGGAACCTGATGGGTTGAGAAGGGTACTGGATGCTTTCTTCATAGGACACATAAGGTGAGCTGTCCTTAGAACTTGTGTTATCTAAACTTATTATTAATTTTCTCTTGTTTTCAGGCTCAAAAGCCATGCGGATGTTCTGCGACGATTGTGTTTCGATGGTTTCTATAGTAAACTCCCCAGTAATGGAGCTGTCTTTGCCAGCACCTGGAAAAACTGGTCGTATCTGAAATCGTTTGCATTGTCCTATAAAATGCTGTTTGTGCCCACTGTGGGTCCGGGTTTTGCGGAGAGGAACAAGTTCCCACGCCATGGGGATATTCAAAGGCATCGCAGCAACGGAAGGGTGGGTAGAAATCCTTTAAAAGTCCTAAAGATAAATGTATCTAATGATATTTTACCTTTTTAGTACTATGGAGTTGCCTGGCGAACAGCCATTCTTAACCATGTGGGCTTCATCAACATAGCCAGCTACAACAACTGGCCAGATGGCAGCCAAATTGAGGAGGTGATGCCCCGTGCCGGATTCCTGGACTACAATCCTGGCTCAAGGACCAAATATCTGGATCTCACTGCCCACTGGGTGGGAAACTTTCTGAAGACGCGCCAGGAGGCGGCGGCTGCAGCTTCTCCGGCATCGCCCCAAAATTGCTACGAGCTCTTGAATGGGACTATTTGCTAGGCGCACCAGCAACTTCCGAAACGGAGATAATCCTAGTTACTTTAGAAGCAATAGCAACGATTGCAGGCCACACAATTACTTTCCAAATGTTAACGAGTCTTCAGCTACACATATATACACTGCATATATATATCGTTTTGATAGTGATATTTTAAATAACTCAGATTAATTCGAAACATCAAGGGAATGACAATTATCTGTCGGGTTTTTTGTGCAAGAAATTAATTTTACTACATTCTGTCAATCGGTTGTGGATGATTACCTAATATTTATACTCAAAGCCAATCATAAGGACAATTGCAAACACAGCTATGGAATACTAGTTAGTTTTCTTGCCAAAACTCTCGACAATATGTGAATCAAACGCAAAAGAAAGCAATTAAAATTGATATCAATTAAAAGTAATTCTAGAGCCAGACATACTTTTTTATTAAATCTATACTAGCTTTCAATTATTGTAGACTATAGAGGAGAACAATATCATAACTTAATGCCATGCCATATTATGTAGACACCAAAGAAAATTATCTATGTTATAACGGATATAAACTAAACACTTGTTAAACGATTGGTACTTAAAAAATTTTAACTTTATTACCAGTACAATATATGAATACTTTATCTAAGCTTTAATAGTTTAGTGCCAAAAAAAAAGTGTATTATTTTGGGAACTCTTTTCAACACTTGAATGAACGTTGCCTGTTACTTTTGACAAGCTGTCATAAGTAAAGCAATAACTTTTTTCTTTTTCTGGAAAAGATTTATGCACTACCATGTCATCTCCAAGACCGAAAAATATGGATAAGCCCGAAGGGAAAAGGACCAAAGGCCAAGGACAAGCCGGTGTGAAAGGATGCTGCTGCAAAAGGTCGCAATGCATCAAAAACTACTGCGATTGCTACCAGTCCATGGCGATTTGCACCAAATTTTGTCGATGCGTTGGTGAGTTTTTCGACTACCAAATATTTAGAGAATATTGCTTTTAATCATACACTTAATCAGGTTGCAGGAACACGGAGGTTCGCAAGGTCGTGGACCCCAACTCTGGGGCCAAGAACGCCAGTGCCGTGAAAAGGCAAAAAGCGGCTGCTATGAGTGCCAAAGCAGCAGCTGCGGCTGCCAAGGAGGGCATTAATGTCCAGATGAAGGTGCTCCAGGCAGGCGGATCGGGAGTAGGATTGCCCGGAAAACCCCTGGTCGCACCCACACCCCTGGGCTTTGTAGCAGGCCAACAACCTATGGCAGCGGTTCCCATTAACATAACCGTACCTCGTCCCATAGCCACTGGCTCTGCTCCAGTCAAAATATTAAAGCCGCCAGTGGAGCCGCTGCCTGTGGCTCCAATCATTCCGTTGAGGAAGGATGACCGCAGGGACCGTAACCTCTTCGTCCAGCCGGTCAACACTTCTCTGCTGGAATGTATTCTCATTCAAGCCACTGAAGCCGAGCAATTGGGACTGACCGAGCTCCAAGTGGGTCAGTTGGTTCTCGCGGAATTCATACGCGGCTACAAGGACATCTTGGAAAAAATCTGCGAATATAATAAAGATTTTTATTAAACAAATAAAGATATTTCTAAAAAAAAAGTAATTTCTATTTGTAAATTGGAAATTGGTATTAAATTTATTTGTTTTTTGAATATAAAAATATTCAAATATTAATCTTTAACTAGGAAGTAGGCATGTATAATTTCATATAAGTTTTCACCTAAAATAAATTCTGTTTTTCACAATTGTTTGTATAATTCCTTAAACTTAAAATTGATTTACCAGCTAGTTTAATTTTAATTTGTTAAATCGTCCTATATTGCAAAAGTATAAATGTTTACCTTACAAATATTTGGTTTATAGTGCATAATCATATAATATTCGATTGTAAGTACAAAATATACAATTTTTTCAGTTAAATAAAGTTAATAACAAAATAAACAGGTTTTCCATTTAAGAAGATCGAGAAATATCAACCTTTTTTCTCCGGCACAAACCAAAACCTTGGCGAGAGCTACCAATCCGGTGGCTGGAAAATAAGCTCCGTAACTAGCATATCGCAGCTTGTTTTCCTTTGGGACAAACGGGAGCCGGCTGGCGTGGTCTTGTGCCTCTCCAGCGGCATCTCATTATCACTGTCGCTCTCCGATTGCGTATCGTCTTCGGAATCATCTTCTTCATCATCGTCCATGCGTCGTCGCTTCTTTCTGCCTCCCTTGGCGGTCTTTGAGGAGCGATACTTCTGCCAGAACTGAGCGGGCTGAGCAAACTCAATGTAGTTGGGGAATCTCATCGCCAGTGCTCGGCAAAAGTTTTCAAAAGTGTGTCTGAGTTCAGGACTCATCACAGACTTAAGATTGCGATGTGTTTCCTCCACATATCGAAGACAACGTTCCAATTGCTTGAGCTGAAGACGAAAATATATATAGTTAGTGGGCAATCTAATGACCAACATGTGAATATAAACTTACTGGCTCCTCGGAGGACTCTGCCTTTCGTCCTCTTCCCCTGGCTGGTGCTTCTCCTGCGGCTGGTTTGGGTGCCGGAGGTGGTGCCTCCACGGGCTCTTCCTCGCCATCATCGTTATTGTCTCCTTCGCCACGAGAGCTCATCTCTTTTCCCTTACCCTTGGTGCGAAAACAAATGCGACGCATGATAAAGAGCATATCCTGAACCACGATCAAGGCGCCAGGATTGCTAACAAAAGCATTGTCTCTGGTTTTTTCTAGAATATAAATATTTGAGCGTTGTTTAAAAAGTGCTGTTTGTAGATAACAAAAAGTTGACTCACCTGCCAGCAGCTTTAATTGGCCAAAGTAAAGCAAAAGTGTGTTCTCATCCACCGAGGCCATAATATGGTTGTAAAGCAACCTTCGATTCCTTGCCATTCCTGGACCCTTTAGTGGTGATTTATAGTTGGAATCCGTCCGAACACCTCTCAAAGAAGCCTGGCCATTCAGGTCGAAGGGACACTCCTTAAGGCAATGATCAAACAGCATTTTGTTGTACAATCTCTTGTAGCGAATGAAGAAGGCATCCGCCTCCCTGGCCACCTCAGCACTTTCATCCACCAGACCGGCCAGCATAGATATGAGAATGGGTCCCTTTAGCTTGATGTTCCCGGATAGGATCACATCCTTCACACACCGAAAGGTGCGCACTCTGGTCATGGCGAATTTGGAATGCAGTTTCGACAAAATCACCTGGAAGTTACTCTCAAGAATCGAAGGGTGCTTCTTGCCCAGATCGTTCAGGGCTATTAGAGTGGTGTTGATGATCTGCGGTCGGTCATTTTTACTTAGAATAGTTCTGTAAAGCTTTGACACGCTGTTGGCCAAGTGATTCTCCCTGAGGCACAAACGACCCGCTATCACAATCATCCAGTTGGTCATGCGTTCGTTGTCCGAATCGAATTGCGATTCACTGAGCTTGGTGCACTCCTGCAAGTATTTAAATACAATGCTCACGATCCGGTTGTCCACCTCCTGCGGCAGCATCACAATTATCTCCGTATAGGCACCCAACAGGCACTGCAGGCGGGTGTATTCATCCTGGAAATTATGTGCACTGGCCAGAATTCCCTCGGTGAGATCTTCTAGCAAACTAAGCTGCCAATCTGGGGCCTCGGAGTCTATTGCAGGAGCCCGACTTACAGACAGGTGATGGATTTGGTTGAGCAAATTAACCGCACTCGATATGATGCCCAGCCAAATGCCACCCGTGCGCAGGGCATTCAAAAGCCTCTGAAATAACTGATTCAGGGCTGGCTTGGAAAAGTTCTTCAAACATCCAATGATAAGCTGAAGGGCCAGAAATTGATTGGATTTCATGTTGTAGGAGGAGAGACCATTGAAGATGCCAATCAGTGCGTCCATATTGTTGGTGATGCGGCTGGACAGGAGCAACAGCAGTCCCCAGGCATCGGTGGCCATGGATGTAGATAAATGCGATATTATAATGTTCACCAGCCTGGGTCTGAAATACATTCCGGTTACAGTACATTTAGGATTAAAGAAAACTTTAACCTACGTTACGATGGACTCCCTTTCCAGTAACACAGCGAATCTTTCTTGAAGATAGGCTCTTGGTTGTGTCATTAGCAGGGTACTGATAATTCGCCAGGGCATAAAATGTTTGGCTTCATTCGAATATTCCAGCGGCTGAATGTTTTTCAAAACCATCCGATCGAAACTCTGAAAGATCAAAGATAAATCAATTACATTTGTATACTTCTATATTTAACCACTCACCATTATAGCCAGTTTTTGCAGGGCCACATCCTCATCACTCATCAAGCAAGCCCAAATACGGCAGTACACACAAATCAAGGCAAAGCAATTGGAGTAGGCCTCGAGCAGGGTTTCCATGGTATCCAGTGCTGATCTCCTCACCGAAGCCAGACGATCCACAGCCAACAATGAGGTTTCCCTCACGAAATTTGTATTATAGATGATTAGGGGGTTGACGAGCACCAATCTTTCGAGTAAAGCAATGCCAGCAGTTCGAGCTAAGCCATTATCCGCAGCCAGAAACCGCTGGTACACGGTATGAGGAACATTCTTGACTTCCTCCTCCAGTTCCTCATGACCCTCAAAACTAAAGGCATACTGGACAACTCCTGGCTTCTCAAAACGCAGCTCGTTTTGCTCTACCGAAGGCTCAGCTAGTGCTTCCACATCCGCATCCTCGAACTGAACGAAACGAATGCTCTCGTCCAGAATTTTGGTGGTCATAGGGGATCCTTGTTTTAGGGCCAGGATGAGCACTTGACAAGCCTTTCGGCGAACAGTAAATGTTCGATCGTTGAGACACCGCATCACCTCCCTCAGGAGAGGAACTTCCCTTGGTACCTTGGACACATCGTACCGGAAAATGCTCCACTCCACCTCGCTTTGCTGCATGAGGATCTTCTCGATCAGGTCCAAGGCTCGAGTTTGAATCCCCACCGCATCGTCTGCTTTCACAGCCTCCAGAACAAAGTCTGCGCAGGATTTATTGCACTTGGAGAACAGAATCCTGTCGTACTTGGCTGCATAGCTTATGGCCACCTTTTCATCATTGCTCTTCCACTGAAATAAAATAGGAATTAGGTTTAGAAATATTGGGGATTTTCAATATACTCACCGCTTTGATGGGATTGGAAACCACACACTCAATGTAGAAATGCAGAATACGGATTAGAATGTCGGGATACTTGTCTATAAGTTGGATAAACCAATCCGATATGTGCTCCCCGCTCTGCATCGCTCCTCCTCGACGTCCTGCTCCAATACTGTGGGGACTATCCGTGTAGACGTGCATAGGAAAGGTCTGTCGCATGATCAAGTGAAGGGTTTCGTAGACATCTCCATTATGCTCGTTTGCAATTTCGCCAAAAAGCTCAAAACATTTCGCATGCAAGGCGGGAGCACCTGAAATGTTAGCAAAGTTTAAAAATACGTTACAAAGTCGATAAAAAAGTTAAATATCAGTATTGCCAACATGAAAAAAGATAGAATCGAACTTATCGATAATATAATCGAGTTTTGTTGCACCTCTAGCAAGGCAGGCAAAATAATGAAATAATCGTGAAAACAGCAAATAAGTTTCGAAATTCCAGAAGATGTTGGGCGTACTGCGGATCCAAGGAGCGGTGGCTTCGGCGGGACAGGCGCGCCTCCTGTCCGCCCGCCTGCTGGCCAGCAAATCCTCCACTGACATGACTGCAAATGCGAGGAGTGAATCAACCAATTCGCCGGCCACCGAGCACTTTGATATAATCATTGGCGGCGGAGGACTGGTGGGAACCACTTTGGCCGCCGCTCTGGCCAAGAATACCACGCTGGCGGACAAGAGGGTGTTGTTGCTGGAGGGAGCTCCGGAATTCCGAGGATTTGATCCCTCCGGCCCTTACCAAAATCGAGTATCCGCCATTAACCAAAACTCCATCGAGTTGTTCAAGTCCATAGATGCCTGGTCGCATATCGAATCAGCCCGCTACAAGCCCGTCAAGCAGATGCAGGTGTGGGAGTCCAACACGGATGCACTGATCCAGTTCCAGCATGATAACTTTGCCAGTGATGTGGCCTGCATCATCGAAAACGATCTGATTCTGGATGCCGTATATGCCCGGGTCAAGGAAGCTCCTAATGTGGAGATACTGAACAAGGCCAGAGTCGAATGCGTCCGCTTGCCCAGGGACTCGAGCTCCAATCTCTCCGAGCTGCAGCTGCAGGATGGTCGCTCCTTTTCCTGCGATCTACTCATTGGAGCAGATGGCGCCAACTCTGTTGTCAGGAAGGAGATGAACGTGGATGTGTTCTCGCTGAACTACGACAGGATGGGCCTGGTGGCCACGTTGGAGCTGGGCGAAGATGCTTGTGATAACTCTGTGGCCTGGCAGCGCTTCCTCCCTAATGGACCAGTGGCTTTGCTGCCGCTAACGGATAGACTGAGTTCTCTGGTCTGGAGCACCACCAATGAGCAGGCCAAGAAGTTGCAAGCCCTTCCGCCGGCTGAGTTTGTAGATGCCCTCAACGAAGCCTTTTGCAGGCAGTATCCTCGCGTGGAGCTGGCGGACAAGGCTGTTCAGGCGCTGAACTCTCTCTTTGGACACAATGCCAGCCAGCACCAAGTACAGTACCCTCCTAGAGTGTGTGGCGTTAAAGACAAGTCTCGTGCCACCTTTCCGCTGGGCTTCCTGCACGCCTCATCGTACGTATGCAATGGAGCTGCACTTGTTGGCGATGCCGCCCATCGAGTGCATCCTCTCGCCGGACAGGGCGTCAATCTGGGCTTCAGCGATGTGAGGTATCTGGTGGAATCACTGGCAGCTGGTGCATACGCAGGATTTAAGCTAGGCGACAAGCAACACCTCATCAAGTACGAGCGTAAATGCCTGGCCAAGAATGTACCCATCATGCTGGGCGTCCATGGACTGCACACCCTTTACTCCACGCAGTTTAGTCCAGTGGTTTTGCTCAGGAGTCTAGGTCTTCAGCTGACCCAGAATATGCCGCCCATCAAAAACTTGTTCATGCGGGGAGCGATGGGTCAGTAAATCAACGACAATAAATGGTTAAATCGGGAAAATTAAATCTTAAGTGTTTCAAGTTATTCAAGTCACTTGTGAGTGAAATAAAGTGAGAGTTTATATCAGTTCTTAAAACCTACTTAATGGCTAGGTCAATGGCATGCTGCTGAAATGTTAATCTAAAGTTTAGATTTGGCCAATAATTTGTGCAACTGTTTTAGGATACGTTTTATCTTTAGCTGATATATTGCTTTTTGGACCAATTTTAGCTTATTGGTCATTATTTTGTATTTTTAAAATTATCTTTAAAACATTTAAAGCCAAGTATAGAAATCAATATTTCTAATGTGAAAGATTCGACATTAACACGTTAAACATAACTAGTGAGTTAAAAAAAATTGCACAAAATATTTAGCCTGATAAACAAAACTTAATTCTACTTTAACATTCGTTGTTGATAGTATTTAGTTTGGTGGATTTAGGTTAAAGGCACATTTGGCAGTTGGCAAGATTAGTCTAGATAAAATTTGGCATGGTTTTTTTGGAATCGTCGGATTTTATAGCTCCTGGTGGCTTTTGGATAAACTCTCGCCAAGCTTAAGTTGCTGATCGAGAGTGCTTTCCACCCCCTGGCCGAACACCTGCTCCCTATCGCTCTTTAGCCGAGCTTCTCCCTCTTCATTCGTGTCCACATTGATTTGCTTCGAGTCCTCGGTGTCGGAAATGTAACCAGATTCTCCTGTATAATAAATGGGATAAAGCAGAAGTGGTGAGGCACTAAAAGCAACGAGGTTCCTTTTAGGGAAGGCTTCGCTCCAGGTTTTGTTGGGGTGACGATTAAACATCAAGGGCAGAAATTCATCAACAGGTATTAGTTTCTCCAGCGGCTTAGCTGCCAGCAGCTTCAAGGCTCCCTGTAGGGATAGAACGTAGCCCAATGTCCAGTAGGAGTAGCCGGCATGTACCAGGTTATCCGCGTTCGTCACTCCCGGCTCACTTTCCTCCTTTAAACGCTTGCGACCAAAGTAAATGAGGTCGTATTCCACAACGCTTCTAGCCTGATTAAGAACCCTGACCGCATTTTGCCGGAAATAGGGTTCGAAGCGAATATCGTCCTCTAGAATGAGCACCTCCTTTAGCTCCTTGCGAACCATCGTCACCCAGATTCTGTAATGGCTCAGAAAGCAGCCAATCTCGCCCATTGTCATGGCCCGGTGGTGATAGGGATCCTCGTAGCCGGGCAGGAACCTGACACCCATCTCTTGCAGCCGCTCCGTAGTGAGTTCTTTGCCATCAACAGCCTCAAAGTATTCCGCCTCTATACCCAGCTCCTCAAAGAGTTCCTCCATTTTTGCCCGCCTTTCAGGGCGCCTTTTCAAATTTATCATATATATATGATCCAAGGAGAGTTTGTTTTTCACAGGTTTCCTTTCTAAATGTTTGTAATAGTCCAATAAAGGGGGCACTGCACCCAGATCGTTAACCATCATGCCTTTGAGATTTACCAGCTGCTGAAGATCTTGCTCCAAGGTATCACCTGGTTCGAGGGGTTGAAGTATATAGCCAAAGGTTATATCATTGCAGATGTGCAGGGGAATGCCCGAACTGTTGGCCGATATGGCAAACACTATAATATCATCCGCTGGTCCGTCGTAGAGCGGCTCATGCTGCCTGCTCTTCTGCAATTCCACCAGCTTGTTCCTATCGAAAGTGAGATTCCTGACGGCTTTATGGTTCATGTTCACCAAAACAGCAGTGTGGACCATGGGTACGGGGAAACTTCCTATCTTCCTTGCGTGGTATATTTCTTTGTACTCGTCCGTACGCCTGTAGTAATAATCCTCTGTCATGCCGCACCAGAAATTGGAGTACAAGCTTTCCGAGATCAGCATGGGAGCCACAATTGGCAATTGGAGACGGGTGAGGACATTTAGTGAGTCTTTTGATGTAAGCAAGACATCGGCGTCCAGGAAAAACACAAAGTCAGCCCAAATATCGCGACCATACTGAAAGGCCTCCTCTTTCAGGGCTATCAGGTGTTTGAAACGTGAAGCCGGCCACTCGTACGGTGAACTCTCGTTGGCATAACTCTGCTCATCTGGATCGAAAACGTAGCTCACGCTGTGGTAGAGATCTCCAGATTCATTTAGCCACTGCCGCAGCAGATCTATGCTGTCATCGCTGCTATGATCACAGCGCAGCCTATTAAATTCCGAAATTAGAGATTAATTCGCGATTTATGTTTATAAATTTTTAGATATACCCACCAGAAGGCAATCCTTTTTTTGGGATAATCCTGCTGCTCCAGATAGCTTAGAAACATGGGCAGTGTGTGGGCCTTATTGCGCACCAGCAGGGCAACCAGTATTGTTGGTGGCTCCTGGTAATCCTCCTCATCTTGTCCAGAAATGCACAACAAAACGCTGGCCAGGAGCAGGCCAAAAATCACTTGTTTTTTCATCTCCACGTCATTTATTTACCACATCGCCAGGTTCAAAGGGGTCACTACGCACAATCTGGCGGAGCGGAAGCGTCCGGTTAGTTTCGAAGATGCCGGAGAATCAGCCTTATCTATTAATAAACTGCCTCCTTCTCCAGCTCCAGATGGTGTGACTCTCAAACTGCGTCAGCTGTGGCGGCTCCCAAACGGTGTTATCGCAAGTTATCGATTTTGCTTAGTTTGAATTTTTCATTTCCATAAAAATGTATGTTTTTATATTGTGTTCTTTTTCCGTACTTATTATTCCAATGTTCTGGATTTCAATATTCTTTTAATTTATTTATAAATTGTTTTTGCAATGTTCCATTAACAATCTATTTTTGAAAAAGTAAATCATTTGCTGAACTTAACTGCTGCACTATAAAAAGTTAATGCAGTACATAAGCATCCTTTCTATAAAAAACTAATTCCATTGACTAGAAAATTTTTAAATATATATAACAAACATTTATTGCTTCAAAACCAGGATCAAACAACTTTCTCTTCACGCAGTCGCTGCATGGGGCTTCGCATAGCTCGGGAAGTTTAGTTTCAGACCCTCCTTGGCCTCGAAGAAGGTGTACGATAGGGTGATGGTGTCACAGTGCTCCAGCGCCGGATCCGCAGTGATTTCGGGATCGATGTAGAAGAACACGGGCATATCCACCTCCTCGTGCGGATTCAATTGCTGTTCCTCGAAGCAGAAGCACTGGATCTTGTTGAAATAGGCGCCCGCCTCAAAGGGGATCACATTGTACGTGCTGATGCCGATTACCGGCTTATCCGTGGGGTTCCTGGCCGTGTAGAAGGCCAGAGCGGTCTCACCGGGAGCCACCTTGATCTCGTACTGCTGCGGCTTAAAGTTCCAGCGCATGGAGGACCCGATGTCGGCGTTAAAGCGGATTTTTAGTACCCGATCCTCGATCTTCTTCATGTGCTCTACCTTTTCGGCGTCGTGTCCTTGCGAGGTAGTTCCTCCGTAGCTGTAAGCTTGGCAAAAAATGCTGTACAGAGGCACCGCCGCATAACTTAATCCCACGATCAGCACTCCGCCGGCTGTTATGTAGTTTAGTGTGGATTTGGCCCGCAGTTTACGGGCAGCTTCCTCTGGAGAATCCGTGGATTTCATCCGCCAAAACTGTTGTGACTTTTGCGTTGGGTTTTGATGACGCAGAGAGCTTCTAAACAGCTGCTGGCACTGCCCTCGAAGGGAAAAAAGGCCGCGCAGCATCTTTAGCTAATTAAATCTGCTTTTTTGGGATATTTCCTTAATAATTTCATTTATTTTGCCACTTGTTTGTATAATCTCAGGTCGTTAAGTGTGCTAAAGTGTGTACACACCTAGTTCTATCAGCTGTCTTGAAATAATGAGTTATCGATAGGCATTGAATGGGCTTGTTATCGCCGCCTGAATTTCTTGAAACATTTTAAATATTACCAAACAGCTCAACTAAAAAATTTATTTTTGAACATATTTATGCGTAAAAAATAGTCAAAAAATTTCATTACTATCAAAACCAATTCATACACTTATTTTTAAAACTAAAACCGCAATAAATTAATAAATATATATATTTTTATCAAGGAATACTCACATGAATTCTGATATCCCACTTTAAAGTTCATGTAGAGCACCTCCATGAGGCACCGAATTATCCGGTCTCGCGGTTTCAGGTGCTCCTTGAAGTGCACATAGCGAAAGACAACCTTCAGGTCATCGCAGATGGTCAGGAAGAACATCCAGACAGTGTTCGCCCGAACGCTTTTGTTACCATTCAGCTCTAGCAGCCTAAATATCTTGAGAACCTGCTCGATCACATCCTCATCGAAGACGCCATAGCTCTTGGCCCCCGGAATGGTCAGAGTAAGCAGGTAGGTACTCGCAGCATTCAGGGACAGCTGGAGATTGAGGTTTTCATTCAGGTTTTGCGGAGCAGCCCGCTGCACATGCTCCGGAGGAATGACCAGGCTCGTTAGCGAATAGATGTACGAAAGATATGCGTTTGCCGGGGAAATCCCGATGATATTGGCCCAGTTGTCGTGGGTGTTGCTATAGCTGGCCTGGTTATCGTCCCTCATGGAGCGTATGATACTTGACAAATCCCGAAGCAACTGCAACTGCGTCTCCTGGTGTCCAATATCCTGTAGGCACATGGGCAGGGACCAAAACTTCTCCGCCCGCTGCTGCAACACACCATCTTCGGCTTCCTCACCATATAGCCACTCCTCCACATCCACCCACTGTAAATTCGGTTCATAATACACTCTTAAATCACTAAAAACACGATTTAGCTCCATGTTTACATTTTATAAATGAAAAGCGATAACCCAAACAGCTGTTCCAACTGCACCATGCAATCGATAATCGATAAGACCAGAAGAGCGGTTAGTTTTCAAAATCGTACAAAATCAGGGCTGATATATTAATGCATTTACTTGGCTTATTATTATGCAATTTAGTTGTTGTTTCGTGGTTACATACGCGCACTTAGGTTCTAATCCCGCTGACAGCTAGAAATCCAGCGAGGCCGTGGCATTGGAATTGCTCAGTAGGCCGGAGATGCAATTGTCCGGCTTAGCAGACGACTCCTGCAGCTCCGGCGGCAGGTGGAACTTCTCAATGACGAACTTCTTGCGGCGCAATTTAAAGGCCAGATCCGTGGTGTCCGGCATGTGGACGGCTAGCGTGTTCAGCGCCGACATTTTGTGCAAGTGGAGCAGGCCACTGTATTCCTTGAAGGCCGGATGCGTTTCACGTTCCGATCCGGCAAAAGACTCCAGCTCGATGGCATAGTCCACCAGCTGGCGGATCTTGGGCACCAGGCTGGCATCGTACTTTGCAATCAGGTGCATGGGCATCGTGATCAGGCACACCGCGTTGCAGTTCCGCACACTGGCCATCAGCAGGGTGAGGAACTTGATCAGATCCTCGCCAAAGTGCTCGTCGTACCACAGCGGTGATCCCAACGAGGTCAGGCAGACTCGACACAGGTTCTTCTTGGTCCCAGCCACGAAGCTCTCATCCCGCAACAGGTCTTGGATGTCGTTGAGCAGTCCTCCGTATCGAGGATTATGGAAGACCTGCGGTTGCGCCTCCTGGCTGCCTGTTTTTGTGCTGCTGGTCACGCTGCTGCTGTTGTTGTTGTTATTATTGTTGTTGTTAGCTGAGCTTTCTTCCTGGGCCGGAATCTTCTCCTGCAGAGTGGTCTCCTCGCCTGGAATCGGCGGGGCTTCCTCCACGGGCTGCTGCTCCAACGATGAAGTGGTCGCCGAGCTGCTCTTGGAGAGCTCCTCGGCAACGACAATGTCCCACAATGTCTCCTTGTGGCTATCGTCCCACATGGTGGTATTGGCATAATAGAGCATCATCGAGTCCATTTGCTCCATTAGATTGAAGTGATGACCGATCTTGGCTGTGGCATGCTCGGAATTGACCAGGGGCAGGTCGTTGTACCGCCAGGCAATCCTCAGGCCATTCTCGGCGCCGCCAGCGCCATGGGCCTGATCCTCGCGCTGCTCCACCTCCGTTTCCAGCTCGGTCAGCGGCTTGGGCAGACGGCGGAGCATCTCCGCCGGAATATCGTCCAGGCTGCCCAGAAATATCTCCTGCTTGGAGAGCACTCCCTCAGCCAGGAAGTACTTGGCCAGCACCTTGGCGTGGGTCATAAAGCGATCCTCCTCAATCAGGCAGATTGAGCTCATGGGCAAGCCACCGCCGATGACCACGTCCAGATAGGGATTCCCGCTGGAGGTGATCACCTGGGCCGTGTGCGGCGAGGTGCGGGTGCCGCGGATCGGCTTCGTGACTGCTTTCTTACGGAAACTGGTCATCTTCTTCGCACGGATTTAGCTAACCTTTATTTTCTGCGTACTCTATGTTTCTTCTTCGCGTAAACTATTCTCGATGGCTGCCAATACACTCTCACTCTCGGCGGGTCTATCGATAGCCTGCACAGCTGATTATTCGCAAAAAGGCGATGGTTGGCCAAAAACAGCTTTTAAAAGGCTAAAAAGTGTTTTCTTTTCAAATCAGTTTTAAGTTTGTTAGTTACCTACTTTTGTTAAACACAATTTGCTTTAATAAAACAGCACAAAATCTAGTATTACTCTTATTTAAATCAATGACACTTATATTAAGTATGAAGGTAAAATCACAGATTGCTTTTCAGAAAAAAAACTCTTTCAAAGTTTTCAACATATTGAACGAATGTATAGAAGTGAATTGACAAATGTTTAATCCTTAACAGTAACAAGTTCATGTATAAGTTTTACATGAAGAATGAATCCAATGAATTGCAATTAATTTAATTATGTACATTTTAAGCTCTTAGAAATTCATAAAAAAATGTATTATAGCCAAATCGCTCTTAAGCCATCATTAGGGGTATTTAATATGTTGCCTGCACCTATCGATAACAAAAGCAGCTGTTTTTACCTGTGCAGTTTTGATGACATTCTTTTCTTTGTGGTAATTGAGGAAAACAATTGAAAAATTACCTTAAAATTAACGACACAATGGCCGAGGTGACGTCGCCGCAGATGACGGAACAATTGGACAACGAGGAGGTGCGGGAAATCCTGAAAAACACCACCGATCTGCGCCAGTACTCACGACAGATTGAAAAGGAGTTCAAGGAGGTGGAGAACAAGTCCATTGAGGGTACGTAAGGCACTACATCACATAAGTAATCATATATTTAAATGATCTCCCTTTAACAACAGACTATATTGCCGAATCCCAGAATATAGCCAACCTGCACAACCAGATCAACGATTGCGACGATGTCTTGGAGCGTATGGAGAACATGCTAATGAGCTTCCAGAGCGTTTTGAACAACATCAGCACGGAGATTACGCAGCTGCAAAGAAAATCCGTATCTATGTCCCTCCAACTGACCAATCGTCAGTCTGTCAAGGCTCAGCTTTCCCAGTTTATTGAGGACATGGCCGTGTCCGAGGAGATGATCAATATAATAATGGAGACCCCTGTGACAGAGCGTGATTTTAGTGCTCAGTTGAATGTACTTAATCACAAACTCTCGCTGGTCAAGGAGCTCAGCTTCAACGAGTCCAAGTCCACCAGCGATGTTAGCGATGTGCTGCAGAAACTCCGGCTCAAAGCCATGTCCAAGATTCGCTCGTATCTGCTGGAGCAGATCTATAAGTTCCGCAAGCCCATGACCAACTACCAGATTCCCCAGAACGCCATGCTGAAGCACAAGTTCTTCTTCGAGTTCATCCTTTCCAATGAGCGGCATGTGGCCCAGGAGATATGTAGCGAATATATCGATACGATGGGCAAGATTTACTATAGTTACTTTAAGGTTTGTGTTCCTCATTGTGGGAGTTTAGTTTACTCTACCTTAAAATCTTATTTACAGAGTTATTCCACACGATTGACGAGTCTCAAATTCGAGGAGTCCTGCACAAAAGATGATCTAATGGGCATAGAGGACAATGCCTCCAAGGGAATATTTTCCAAGACAACTAGTTTAAAGCACAAGAGCACAATTTTTACAATAGGAAAGCGAGGAGATATACTTAACCAGCAGCTGGAGGCACCTATTATAGTGCCACATGCGCAGCTAAAGAATCGAGTAGGATATATGGCTGATTTATTTACATGATTACTCTTTTAAGTGCTTATTTTTAACAGTACACAGTGGAAGCTCTCTTCCGTTCGGAGCAATATGCCTTGGTGGATAATGCTTGTCGGGAATATCTCTTTGTCACCGAATTTTTCATGGTTCGCGGCACACAAGCTCAAGATTTGTTTAACCAGATCATGGGCAAAACCTTAACACTAATGATTGTAAGTTCATGTTTACAATTCTCAAATACAATACAATAACTATTTCTCGATCTTAGAAAAATCTGGAGACCTCTATACACGACTGTTTCGACACCATAGCCATGTTCCTGTGCATCCATCTCATATTCCGCTATCAACTAATGTGCCACAAACGCTGTGTACCTGCATTGGATAAGTAAGCTTACTTGTGGGCGTTTTTTGGAATCACCGTTGCTAACTATTTTCAATTCAGGTATTGGGACTCCCTCCAAGCTGTTATTTGGCCACGCTTAGAGCTGGTTTTCCGATTGAATATACAGAGTATACACGACTGTGATCCTACTAAGTTTAACAAGGAATTGGGACCGCACTACGTAAGAATCATTTTACTTGTTCGAAGTATTTTAAGTTCGTTCAACGCGAAAATATGGCTTTTCCATGACTTTTAAATTCGATTACATTGTTTTTGATTTATAAATACTATAACTGATTGCCAAACCACAATTGATTCATACCTGCAAAATGAATGTCATTAGGGGGCCTTCAGTGATAGCTTATATTAGATAACAGATTGAAAAAAATGCCCCGTTATATAACACGTATTTTTTTCAGATAACCCGCCGCTATGCAGAATTCAGCGCGGCTATTGTTGGAATCTCGGAGCACTTTCCTAACGAGTTGGTGAGCAGATTACTTCTAGAACTTCAGAACGAAGTGGAGTGCTTTATCCTGCGCATGGCTGCCATATTTCCAACGCGCAAGGATCAGCTCATCTACCTTATCAATAACTATGATTTGGTTTTGGGTGTGTTGATGGAGCACACGCGAGATAATTCCAAGGAAGCTGAGGCGTTTAGAGAACAGCTCAGTGCCCGGAGTGCCGAGTATGTGGAGGAAATCCTGGCACCACATTTCGGCGGTATTATTCAGTTTGTTAAGGAGTGCGAGCACTTTTTTGAGAAAGATCAAATGGATGAGCTGAGAAAGCAGGAGCGACGAAGTCTAGCTTTGGTGGCCAGCTTTTCGGCCAACTGGAAAAAATCTCTGGAGGAGCTGAACAGGGAGGTGCTCCTCTCATTTCCTTCTCTGCTGACGGGCTCTCAGCTCTTACAGCTGGCTTTGGCCAGTTTAGTGCAATACTACCACCGCTTCCACAAGCTTCTCACGCCCAATGCCCGCGCCCAGCTTACCAACATTCATGTGGTGATGGTGGAGATCAAGAAGTACAAAAGTAATTACTGAGGGACGCTTTAATTGAATGTGTGTAGTCTTCTGTGTATTCCAACTTGAGTAAAGTTCCAAAATATATGTGTTAAACCTGCTGGCGCTAAGACTTAATCCTCATCTTCGAACATCATCTCGACGAGATCCTGGTTGGAGCAGCGTTCGCCGTCCAGACGCTGAGGCTGCTTCCAGCGCAGCAAAGTGGGCAAGAAGATCAGATGGGTGTTGGGGTCCTTACGGAAGGGACAGTTCAAGTCCTTCCAGCTGCAGCGAAAAACAAGTGTTATTTTATTGTTTAACATGGTTCAGTGATAACAGACAGCATGGACGCAACTCTAGAGCATTGTAAAGCTATCGCTGTTTAATGGTTCTTTTTATCATGAATGTTCTCGGCGTGTGAATAAGCACTCGATTGTTTATTTCATCATCATACAGTTGCGGTTGAATGACTAGCTGCAAATTACCCAAATCCGCTAGTTCACAAACTTATTCAATCGTATTATACTCATATACTATACATGTTAATATGAAAATATGTTTGAAGTATTTATCTTTTAAAAGTTTTTGGTCTTTGTCAGCAATGAAAATAATTTTGACTAATGTTCTTTATGAAAAGTAAGAAATACAATAAAATAACCGTCATCGATAGAAATATTTATAAATAAGAACAAAAACACTGCAGATAAGATAAATATGAAGTAATAAAACTGGTTCTTAAAATGGAATGGCTTTAGTTGAACTCCATGTTAGGTAGGTTAGGGAGATATGATATTATTCACTTCTATTTTTATGACCGCAACTGTATTTGTTTTTGTTATATTATTATTGTCAACTTACTAAGCCCGCTCGCCTACATCCACATGCACAAAGTGGGAATTGCCAGGGGCCTTCTTCAACGCATCGTGTATCACCGGCTCCGCTGCAAGCGTACGTATACGTGATATGTGGATTAGGAAATCGGATAGCGAGCGGTTAACCGCATTGGGATCACGGGATTCTCACCCTTGACGCAGTAGGGACACCAGCTCTGTCCATTCTCGTCCTTTCCGCCGCTGAAGAGGACATGGACCGCCTCGTTTCCATTCTCCAGCTCCTCCATCTTCTTGGAGAACTCCTCGTATCCCTTTACGTTGTGTGTGACGACCATGATCTTGCTGGGATTGGTATGAACCGCGTAGTAGCGTCTGAGAATGCGACCGAAAAACGTTGGGAGCGACGTGATGGCGAACTTTGGAGTAACTGGCTTCTGGAGGGGAATGGCTTCTCCTATTTTATCAGGTTTCTGACTTTTTGACGTAAAAAAAGCTTACAGTAACAGATGTCAGGGTTGCCAGCATTCTCGCACCTATAAACTTGTCCATTTCAAGCCAAAATTAGCTATTATCGAAAGTAATTTACTTTTACAAATATCTTTAAAAATAAAATAAGATTTTGAAATAAAAGTAAGTTGTTGCTAGGATATAGCAAAAAAATGTAATTTTATTTAAAAAAAAAAAGAAATATACCTTTTTAGCGGGATCTTATCGATAGTAAAATTCAATAAGGTGGCAGCACTGTTTGCATTGCCCAAGTTAACAGCTGATTAAAATTCTTTTTTTTATAAAGTGCATTTATTTGTTTTTAACCCATTGATTTGGACTTCAGCAATGTCACGGCTAGCTTTATTGCGCAACTTGGTCAGCCAGCGGCAGAACCTGCTGCCCACCAACTTTACCAGGCTAAGATGTGCGGCAGCAATGCACTGGAGTCCACATTTGCGGCAGGAAGCATCGCGCGGTTTGTGCTTTGACTTCCCAATGGGTTTTGTACATAACATTCAATATATCTATCATGCAGATGGTGGCGGATCACTGCAACGATCGCAGGATAACACGCAAGTGTCTACGGATGTGCGCCCGATTGGTGAGAAGATCAAGGAGAACACGAAGACGGCCAGCTACACGGCCATTATCATCGCCGGATTGGGGGTGACCTGCGTGATGTTCTTTGCCATATTCCGGGAGCTATTCTCAAGCGAGAGTCCAAACAATATATACGCAGACGCATTGAAACGTGTTGTTGAGGATCCGCGAGTTCAGGATGCGATTGGAGCGCCCATCAAGGGATTCGGCGAGACATCCAGGCGGGGTCGCAGGCAGCATGTGGCCCACTCCAGCTACGAGCGGAATGGAAAGCCCCACATGCGGATGCAGTTCTATGTGCAGGGCTTGAGGAACAAGGCCACCGTGCAACTGGAGTCCAGGAGGGTAGGATTGAATATTATTCATTAGGCTATAGTCATTTATAGAACCCTAGCTCCTTTTGTACTAATTATCTATTATTTTCCTAGTCTAACTCTGGCAAACTGGAATACCGCTATCTATTCGTGCAATTGGATCACTATCCCCACACCACCATCATTCTGGAAGACAATCGAGCCTTTGATCCTGCTCCCGAGCCTGCGTCCGCTGCATCTTCCTTTGGCAACCTAGCCCTGATGTCTAATAACCAGGATAAATAGGCGGATCACTTCGATCCTATGTTCTGCACTTAAATTTTCTGTACATTTGTTATATTTATTATTTGACTGACAATGAATAAGCATTGGAAAACCAGTAACAACCAGCCTAAAGTCATTCGCCAATGGAGAAGTTGTCCATCTCCAAAATGGCGCCCGACGCGTGTCAGTAGAGCTTCTTCCAGGGTATAATCTCCCAGGACCGAACGATATGGTGTCCGAAGAGAAAGTCCTTCAGTTTGTTCATGATATAAAAAGATATCCCGAAAAATGAGGCAAAGTAAAGCCAGAATTGGCCAAGACGCTCCCAAACGCTAAGATGATAACGAGCGGGAACTTGAAGCACGTCCATTTCTAGATCAATAATGAGACCGGGCTCGAATTGAGGTGATGTCTTATTGTAGTATGTCTCCTGAACGACAAGTTGGAAGAAAGCTGGATTGGCCTTGACTTGGGCTAGCAGGGATTCCATATTGAACTGCTCTGTGGTGCCGTTTATGTCCACTTGGACATCACGGAACTGAGTCTTGTTGTTGCGCCCCGGAAATGGGCAGGTGAACCCCACATATTGCTTAAGACTTAGCTCTCCTTTCAGCTTTATCTCTCCATTGGCGAGGCGAGTGGCCAAAGGAAGTTGATGGGCCAGCACGGAAGGAGGTGAAAGATTGCACTTGTGTTGCAGTTCGGCTTTGAAGAAGAGCAGTAAACTAAAACTAACTAATCGAGTGGGCACATCCTGCAGTTCCAGTTGAAAATGGGCCCGATCTGTTACGCCATCGTTGTTCATATCCTCGGTCCAATATCTAGTCGTAGTGCAGCTATTAGTGTAACTTTCCATCTGGTCATTGAAAGTGCCGAAACTGCTGCAGGCGACAAGGGATTCCTCTTCCTCGAACTCTACTGGTTCTGTTGTACCCACAAATATATATTGATCAGTAAACTCCGTGTTGGGTTGCTCGTATAAAATTCGAGACTCCGATATACCCGAATAGGGGCTCAGGAATGATACCAGAAGGACGGGCAGCATTACGGAAAGTGCAATAAAAGCCACGACCAAAAGGGTGGCAAAGGAGCACACCGCGTTCTTGTACACGATCGTCGTGTTTTTCGTATGAAGCGGAATAAATCTCATCTTGGTTTTATAAAATTAATCCCGAATTTTTTGAGCACCTGCTCAATTGTCACTTGTCAGAAGAACTTTGTGAAAATTCGTTTGCATTAGAACGTTGCCAGGCAACCTTTGAAAAGGTACTGCCGGTGCAACTCTTGCGGTCAAACTAGTTCAGATCCCTTATTCATCAAACTATCGTTGTTTAAGTTTTTTGGATCCTGAATCAGAATTCATGGAAATGAAAAAGGTAGTTAAGGTTCTTGAAAAATAACGCTGTTGGTTTTTTTTACATTATACATATCTATAAAGATATACGTTAAGCTTGTATGTCAATAGGAGCAACAACTTTTTGTTTAAATATTTTTAAAAACATTAGCATTTTAAGCGTTAATAGATAAAAGTAAAATCTTTAGTTTAACAATTTTGTGCAGGTAAAAAATAAAAAAAAAATATCCTGCACATTAAAAAATGATATCAGGTCGTTTCTTTTCACGGAACAACAATAAGTTCCAATATAAATTGCTAGACAACCTCATGCAGAAATAATATTTATATAATCTTATGTTTAATTTTAAAATATTTAACGGCTTAAATGCACGATCGAGCACGAGCGCATCTCTAGTGCGCTCTGTAACTATCGCACCCCGCTCGGCGTTGCCAGACAGCCACAACAGCTACGTGTCCAGCCCTGGTCGGTCAGCTGTATACGAAGAAGAAGAAACGATGGGAGTGTTTTCGTTCGAGGCGAAATTATTTTTATTATTTTCGCGCTAAATAGCTAGCGATTTACGAGCAAATCCAGCTTAAAACGCGACCGCGTAGTTGCAACTCTCGCTGTGATAGAAGGCAGTGCGCTGCCTCGATGAAAAGAGGCGTGAAAATACGAATCGAAAATTGAGACACCCGCGACCTCCGAAACAAAGTGGGAAAAATCGAACCTGTGTGCGTGTGTATTGAGTGTGTAGTGTGTGTGTGCGTGTAGAATAGTAAATTAAATTTAAATTTAAAAAGCCGAATGTAAGGCAATCCATAATTGAAAGATGCCCATGTATATAGCCTGCGATGATCGGTGATAATGAGTGCGGCAATGAGTAATCGATAATCGTGAGTGCGACACCTGAGTAGCAGCAGCAATAACAACAACATCAACAATAGCAACAGCAACTGCAAAAACAGCAGGCACACCTAAACCGCCCCGCCCCGCCCACAGTTACACACACACGCACACCAGCAGCGATGGAGGCGTTGGAAGTGGAGGACACCAGCGACGACAGCCTGCCCATGGGATTCCCAGAAGTGGGCACCTGGAACAGCACCCACAATGTCTCCTTGAACGACATGAATCTGGATGCGCGCATGGTGAGAATGGGCTTTAATATACTGAATACTGTTGTTGAATGCGAAACTAAATACGCATCATGAGGGCATATTTAATTTGATTAATACGTCTGGTATGCCAGTGAATCAACCGACAAATGGCATTATCTCCACGTTTAATGGTTTAATGGGCGAAGGGAGCAGCGGAAAGCTTATCAATCAGCGGGATTTGGTCAATGACTTACTGGTCGCTGATAAAACTACTGGGTTCTAGGCTGATCTATAGCTATATACTTTCTAATCATCATTATTTAGAAACCAAAAATGATCGATTTTTAAAAAAGGCCACAAAATTGTTACTTGTGCGTTCTAAAATCGTAGCCAACGAAATTGATATCTTATCACACAATATTGTGTTTTTTAACCATTTTTTTTGTCTACAATAAAGATAATTTGCAGCTGCAATGACTTAAAATGCATTTTAGCAAAAATTTAACCAATTAAGATTTTATTATGTGATTAAGTTCGCGCCCTTTGAGTGAACCCATCAAATATAAGTGTTCACTGTCTAGAATTGTTACTCTCAATTAATTTAAGTAAAAACAATTTGTTATATTTGCCCAATACTGTTTTTATATTAACTATATATATAATACTTTTTTCTCAACTGATAAGACATTCAAGATTATAATTTTATTATGATGTTTTTAAAGTTGTTTACTCAATATAAACGCTGATCTCTTAGTTCCATTCAGAACTTTAGCATTATACTACAGTAAACACTGAATGTTATTAAATTACAACACTGTAAATTAATTGAATGTAGACAAAAGTTTGTTTAATTTGTTTTCCGTGAGTTTGTATAGAGTACAAAAAAAATTCTTGACCAACAGCTGTTTAATAGTTTAATACATAAAAAGTGTTTGTATTCTATAAAAAAATTAACCGTTCTTTTCTTAAGTTATTTAAATAAGTTTTTCTCTTTTGGTTATCGTTCAAGTAAAGTTTTAGTAAACATAGCATTATAATTCAAAATTATTCTGTGATGTTTAGATTCTTTCGAAAACTCCTACCCCTCAGACTTTCTTCCATTATAAACAATTTATTTATTTGATCTTCGATGTTCATTGCAATTTCACAATCGGTCTTAGTCGAAACGGTGTAAAAGTAACCCTTACATAAAAGACCAAGTTCACTTGAAAACCATCAAACTCCAAGAATCGGAATCGCACACACCCCCAGAAAATCTGTCATCAATCAGATCAGAGCTCAAATCAGGCACAGCCTTTACTCGTTTTTAACACGCAGTCTCATCAAACAATTCATCAAAATTTCCATTAATCGCTAAGATATTGAGCAGCACTAGTTTTTTTGAACCGAAAATTTTCTACCGGATTATCAAACTCAGTCGAAATATGCAGCCCTTGCGGATGCTGATTCAGTGCCTGGCGACGCGACAGGCCAAGGTGATGACCCACATACGCCGGGCCAGCGGGAGCAGCAGCTTTCCGGAGCTGGCCTTCCCCGACGACCAGGACATCGAGCCGGAGGACGAGCAGGGAGCGCTGGATCCTCAGTTTCCGATCCTTCACAGCCGCCACACCGATCTCTTCTACATGCCGCATCTCGTGGGTCCGGCGTACCAGGGTCTCATTTCATCGGTGGATCAGCCCTATACCACCTCCTACTATCCGGCGGATGCACAGACGTTGAAAAAGGGGGGCGAGAGTGTCCTACGGTCTGTGATCTCACCCTCCGACATGTGGGTGGTGGCTTGCCCCAAGCTGCTGGTGGCCTATATGCGCCATCTGTTCCAGCATCCGTACGCCCGTTTTGGCAGCTCGATGAACTTCAGCACGATTGGGATGAAGTTCCAGGACTCTGATGTCGACAATGCCTTGCGCTCTTTCGTACTCTTCGCCAGCCACAATTCGCGCGAGATCATGCACAACGGCTACTGGGCGGACTTTATCAATCCGCTGACTGGCCGTGCCCACTTCCGGGCCGCCCACTCCAGCCGGAAGCAGTGCCGGGAGTCCCAACTCCTTGGCCGGGGCTTGGCCTTTACCAATGCCAATGGCTGCACCGTAATCGAGGAGGAGCAGAGCGATCAGTTCACCGGCTGCATCTTCACCGACACACCCTGCAAGGTCCTCGAGTCATGGATCTGCTAGAGGATCACAAGATCATCGCCCAGCTGCTCATTTCCATGTCTCTGAATGTGTACACATTAAAGTCCAGTTGAGAACTCTATCGCCGATCCCACGAGGCTTATATCCGAAAATTTTACGTAGTACATTTTGGCAAATCTCATTTCGATTAAGTTTATAAGGAAGTCCCCATTCCAATCTGTATAGTAAATTTTAAAATTTTACAGTTTGATGTTATTTCTTCTTCTAAACACAAATCAGCGAATTACTCTTGGATCGTTGGGTTCTTCCCTCCTTAAAGAAAAGCTGTGAAAAGGATCCAGAACTGTGGAGGCTTTATATGATAATGTTTTGTAATTTTGGAAAATGTAATAAGAGGGAATAAACCTTTGTTTTGGCAATACATTTGTTTTTATCGCTTTTCTTTTGGTTGTTGTGTGAACAAATCAAGGAGAATTAACTTTTTTATATAATAACAAAATAGATCTCTAAAATTATTAAGTAAATTTTTTTTATTTTGAACTTTAATCCCTTAAAAGAAAAAAATAATTGGAGCACTAAAGAAACCATTACCTTAATGGTTATATTTAATAAGGGTTGAATATTTCTGAAGATAGCTTTTGGTTAAGGAAAAAAAGTTATAAAAACAAACCCCTTTTAAATTTTTTACCTACGTAAATGACAATGTATATTAGTAATTCTAATTTAATCTACCTTAAATAATACATAAGCTAAATATTCTTAAACAATTTTTTTCTGGAATCATACATTTTTATTCATGGTACCTAATTCGATTCTAAATGTTTTCAGATATGGCTGCTCGCTTCGCTGCTGACCACGATCACCTGGGTGACTTACATCTCCTTCTACAATTCTCGGGTGATTGGGATGTTGATAACGAAGATCGCCAACCGATGGTTCATCAAGGGCGCGTACTTCAAGATCGGTTCGGTGGCCCTGAATCCTCTGGCTGGCAAGATAATGTTCCGAGACTTTGTGTACATCACCTATGACTACACAGTGCGGGCGCAGGACGGATACTTCATATTCCGCTGGTGGCGCTCCTACGTGCCCAAGGATGTCTCAGAGGGTGAGTTGGGAATGCAATTGGATGTTCTATAACTCTACTGATTAAACTTCTTTTTTCATAGATCTTTCCCACTCGGACACGCGACTCTCGGTTCAGCTAAATGGCTATGAGCTGCATATTTACAATAGATCGGATTTGTACGACACGTTGGAGAAGACTTTTGGACTGGAGCCATCTTTGCTCATACCCACGGATGTGGTCAGCAACGAGGAGCGAAACAAGCTGAAGGAGCACCATATGAACCTGGAAAATGCCCGTCGGATTCAGAATGTAAAGAACTCGGAGGCCATGCAGGCCACCACCTGGCGGGATCTGATTCCAGTGATCAAGATTGACGTCTGCTCTGGTCGCTTTGTCTTCGGAAACCGATTGACGCCGACTACTCTCTCGATTTCCGTGGAGGAGGCCCATTGCACCTACAGTACCAAGCCAGCTGTCTGCAGGTTGGATCACTTTATGCACTTTGTGAAGGCCAAAGTCGAGAATGCCAAAGTGCTCTTCTGTCCGAGTCCCAAATACACGGGATTGATTGATGAACCACCTCGATATATGGGCGAAGGCTTTGTGGTGATGATGTCCAATCAAATGGATTTGTACTTTTACATGGATGAACCGGGCGTTGTTCCGGAGCAACCCGTACAGATTGTCCTGCCCAATGGCGATGTGGTGGAGCCTTCCCCGCCAGTCTGGGGCATAAATGCGAGGTGCCTTAAAGGCACCGATTTCAGCTACGGACCGTGGGCAGATCGGCAAAGAGATCACCTGTACAGGTACTTTTACCCTTCCGATTGGAAGGAGGCGGAGGTTACACCCACTCCTCAGCCTGGGGAACTACGTAGCTATCAATCCTTCGATGTAACCTTGTGCGTGCTGAATGAAGCCACTATTGACATACTCTTCTCCAAAGAAAAAGAGACGAACGCAATGCACATAACCGTGGGACCTGCTTCGTATGTAGAGGTTACAATTCCCTGGGTCACCCATCCCGATGGTTACACTTCCAAGATCCAGGGACAGCTCTTCCACGTGGAGGCAACCACGTCGCTGCAATATCGCAGCCTGGCAGAGTTTGAATCCTTAGAGTACAAGGTGCGAATCCACTATCCAACCAAGTGGAACGCACCACAAGATTGGAGCATATCTCTTTCCGGCTGCAAAACGAGTGCTTTCATTGTGTACAAACACAAGTGCTTCTTCCAGGATCTCATCGAGGATTGGGCGAACAAAGCCAGGCCCGATATACTCAGTTTTGTTCCTTACACCTGCAACTTTAGCATAAGATTGCACGAGTTCGAAATCCTAATGCTTTGTAACGAGTACAATTGGATCGATTGCAGTAGTGCCAACCAGGAGAACAATCACTTGGCCTTCTGTGGAGACGTGTTTGAGATGAGTTTTGCCCTGCCTTTCGATGATTTCCTGCCCAAGACCGTTACTCTAAAGTTTTGGATCCACGGCGAGGGATTGGATTTGAGCTTGTACGTACCGGAAGTGTCCTCGGTGCGTCCAATTGTTTTAGCCATAGATGAGAACGCAAGACTGCTGACCAGGGAGGGCAAGCTCATCCGGCGCCCGGAGTTGTACTCGAAGAAGTGGCGCAAGATTTGCCAGCGCTCTGCCGGTTGGATCGACTGTTGGGCAGTGCCCATCCTGGCACTGTCCATTCAGTATGTTTATCATCCGGTTCCGCCTTTAGGACCGGATCCGCAAGCGGATATAACCACACCAGAAAAAGAAGAGATTCTACTGAGCCCCATGCGAATACCTAAAGTTAGAAAATCTCCTGTGAGCAACTGGCAACAGCCACCGGAACAGTATAGTAACTTTGATCCCGGAACACTGTCTGCGGATCATGTTACTGTGGAACTTGAGATAGGTAGTTCCGTGCTCATGGCATACGGAAATGTGCTGCGCAACTTTATCAACCTCAAGGAAAATATTTTCGGCGAGGATCAGAATTTTACTGACATGGAGCAATCGAATGTAAATTTGAAGGAGCCCGGAGCTGCCCAGTTAAATCCCAAAGATCAACTGCTGGCAAAGGAAAAAGAGCTGGCCAACAAATCCATTTCCGAAACTCAAGCGCCCGAGGAGAAGCGCAAACCCTTTGACCCGCGTCTATACCGTCCCCTGGAGGTGATGGTTTCTGTGATTGTGCATGACATTCAGGCCCATGTGATGAAGAATTGCAATGAAAACGATCCTCCGTGCCCGGTGGTGCTAATTGAGAGACTCGGGTTCGAGATGAATAAAAAATATCATGAAACTACCCTGCAGGTACTAGTGAGTCCGTCGTATTTACTAACCTCGGACTGTCTGCAGCGTTCCCAGCGGGAGCAGCACATCAACCAGGGTCACCTGATGCTCTCAGCAGTCCAAGTGAGAGGTCATGCCATGTTCAGTAATGAGGGTTGTGCTCTGGACGAGGATACCCTGGAGTACTCCTGGCTTGTGGAAGTGCAGCTAGGTAAACTTACCGGAAAACTTACCCTGCCACAGCTGGTAAACGTGGTCACAGGTCTGGAGACACTCATCCTCCTGGCCATTGACCCGGAAAACTGCTTGAAGTCACCTAAGACAGTAAGGAACTGTCACCACGGAGTGCCGAGCAATCTCTGTCCCCAAACCAAGGAGGAGAAGAAGTACAAGTGTCCCACCGCCGAGGATATTAAATACAAAATGACGCGCGTTTCGGTGGACGCAGTGGATGTCTATCTGATAGAGAGTGGCACAGCATTGCATGCTTGGATCTCGCCCATCCGACTGGCAAATTGTAATCTTCACGGCCAACGCGTTAAGTCGGGAATCTCCGGATTGCTGCCCTCCATCCTACTGCGCCTATTTATGCTACACACGACCAACTCGTCTTTCAACACCAACACCACGGGCAGCAATCGGTCAGGTAAACTAAGGCGAGCCGATCAGGACTCTTTGAAGTCTCAGGATGCTGGAGTGTCTCATTATGGGACGCATGGAAGGGCAGGGAAGCGCAGCTCGAACTCCTTTTCGAGGCGAGACTCTCGAGAGGAGGCGACGCGAAAGCTAAGGGATAGTTTCTCAGAGCCACATACTAAGCGAACACCGGACACATCAGAGCTTACCGAGAATTGGGTGGAGGTGGGTTGCACTTCACTGGGACCCATTTTGCTGGAGGGAGCTTCAGCCCTACCCATTCCAGACCACGAACTGCATCTAGTGCAGCACAAGTAAGACCATATATATCAGCTGTATCAATTGATTTTAAAATTTGTCTTTTTTCAATTTGCAGTTTCCTGCGTGAGCACGATGCCAAGTTCAAGCGTCTTTGGTTTCTGTGGTCCCATAACGGAAGTGCCCTGTCCTCTGGGAGTGAGATCTCGCGTTGTGGATGTATCGGTGGATGTGTCTTCTTTGGAAGCAACAGAAATGGACAGAAATTCTTCAAGCCAACGGCACAGGATGTTCATGACAACTACAACATTGCGCGTTACTTGTAAGTTAAAATATAAAACCCTTAGTAAGAGAAAATCTGAAAAACTATTCACTTCTTTGTTGTGATTGACTAACATTCCCATGATCCATGATTAATGATATCGTTTTCAATTCGATTCGTTTGTAATTGCAGTAATTGATGTGTCATAGAAGTGCTATCAGTTTTGCTTGTCACTTGCTATTAACGATATGACCAATCAGATTTGAATTAAAATACTATTAATATTATATTTATCATGAAATATATGATATGATAATAATTAAAATTTATTTAATAAACTCTTGTCTGATCTTAGCATTATCAACAATAACAAGGACTATGGTTTCGGCGAGAGCATTCTCCACCAGGGTCAACTTGTCTTCCACACCCCGCCCTACAGTCTCCACTGCGTTTCCCTGTACGATACAGCCGACTTTAATGGCAAGGGCCGCCTGTATCGGCCCGCTGGAGATTTGCGTAACGGAAGTCTCAAGAAGACGGACCTTTGCTCTCTGCCCGATGGCACTAAGTTTAAGATTGGGGCAAGTGGCACAACCGGAGTGGAGAAGCCGGAGCCCAATTGTCGAAACAAATCCCGGGAGAGCATTGGATCGCCGAATACTTTGGAAAGGAGGAGCAAGCGGTACCCCTGCACAAGGCAGACATCCGTGGAGGTACCCTACGCCCGCCTACTGGATAGTCCCTCCAAAAAGCTACAGCTGCAGCACGAAGCGTCTGCAGCCGACACAGGAACTGGCCACCGACGCGGCTCGGATTCGAACAGGCTGCGGGTGTCACCGCCCAAAACGAGCATTTCGGACTCTAGACTTACGGGAGATGTCCTGGATGATGAGCATGAGGTAAGTTGCCACTTTGTTGACACCAATCAGATTAGATAATGAATCTTCCTTGTTCCTCTGCAGATACCGGACGAGATGTCACACTCCGCACCTCATTCGCATCCCTTGGAGTTCGAGATTGCGGATATAGCACTTCACGTTCAGGGATTGGGAGGAGATCACCTACCCCGTGAGGTGCAGCGCACCATATCGCTGACATCGGAGAATCCTTCAGAGATGTTCTTCTCCGCCGAAGAAGACATATCCAATGTATTGTCGCAGCGGGGATCCATGAAGCAGAGAAATAGTGCAAACAGTGGATCAGTGGTGCTGTCTGGAAAGAAGCGATTCTCATCGGACTTAAGGTTAGTATATAACAATTATTTAATATACCAAATTATTTTAATAAATATTATATCTTCATAACTAGCATTGGAGCCCAAAATGATAACGGAAGCCATACTTTACCCACATATCGCAGCGACCTGGAGATCCATGCTCCCGATGGCAACAAAACACTTCCGAAACGCCCGCAGAGCACTACAGAACTGGTAAAGCTGAAAAATCGAATACGCAAACACTTTGAATTTGTATTCTACAATGTTAGGTCGATTTACTCAGAGATTTATTACACCAAGCGGTTCTAGCTTTGCTGCTTTAAAGCCAAGTTTATATTTCACTCTGTTTCTCATTAAATCCAATATCACCCAAGTATTAAGCGGCAATAAGAACCCATTTCGAAAACTTTTCGATTCGAGTCAGTGCATGCTTTTAACATAGTTCCATTTACAATATGTATACTATAAATAACTCGTAAGCAACGATCTCTCAATGTCCGGATAACTTAACAACACATAAGAAATACGTTGAGAGACCGTTTCTAATTTTGTAAACTGTAAACCACACCTAAAATCTATTCCTTTCCTCAAACTCGACTCATCTTAAATCGAAAACAAAAATCAATCAATGAACTAACCAAATCGATATAAAAACCGATACCTAAATCAAAACTCATCCAGAACGAAGACGCGAGACGCATTCACGGTCTTGCCACACCAATAAGAAAAATAACAAATATCTCATCACGACCTGAGTACCGACATTTTGTTCATGATGTGAGTAGTTCTTAGTACCAACAACAAACAACCAACCAACCTCTTCTAACTAACAAGTAGCGCAACTAAACCAAAATTTTTATGCTAGTCTATTCTGACCAATCTTAATGTACCTGTAGATATTTCTTACTTTGGTACTTTACTGAAATTCTCTACATTTTTTATACATGGTTCGGCGATCTGCAAATGCATGGATTTTGAATATAAGTGCATGTGGAGTTTTTTGGTTTCAAGCTAGGTTTATGTTTTACTAGTGGACATAGAGGGTAGACACAGGTTTCAGGATCATAAAATTTATTGGATTTCGATCTTATTTTCTGTTTTGGTTTTTATCATATATGCATTATAAAAACTGTCCCTGAATATTATAAATTTAAAATTGTTTCTGTTTTTCTGTTTAAATTGGTTATTAAATGATTTTGTTTCTTTGATAATTAAGAGTACGTCTTAGAATGTTTAATAGGAACAGTTAAAAAGTGTTAAAATTCATTTTGATTTTGGATCTTTAAAATATGGTGACTAAAACAGGACTATATTTTTGCTGCACTTAAACATAAACGTTTCTCACGATTTTCTGCTTGTGCCCTTTGATCTGGCTATTTAGTTGTAGAAGCCGAAAAGTAAACATTACCATGTCATATAGCAATTCATTCTAATATGATAGTTTCTTATACATTCTACAGGCTGATTCCCGTGGCTCATCTTCTGGCACACCGTCTTTGTCTTCCAACTCCTTCATATCGGCCATGTCGTCACAGGAGGATGTGGCTCTGGTTAATCTTCACCAGCAGGTCAACCGGCCAATTATCGACTCACCTTTGCTGATGGCCAGCTACCTAAATCATCTGTCGCAGGTGAAGTGCTTCAACTGGAATGGATGCTCCTTTCCCCTAAGCCCAGATGTCTTCTCAACGCCTCTCTTCTCCGAGAACGAAGACGGTGGCCTGACCTATATTGGTAGTAAGATGCTGCCCCACTTTGATCTCTACTCTTGTTGGCGGGAGATTAAAGTGGTTCCACGATACGAGAACGCCACTGGCAGCAACAGTTCGGCCACTTTTCTAGGAGGACCCAAGTCGCATCCCTGGGATCCCAGCGTGCTGCTGAAGGAGGAGGAATCGGACAAGACCACCAACGGTTTTGATGATGGCGAGTTTATGAGTCTGCAGGCGGAGGGAGGAGCAGCCTGTACATCGGTGGTGGCCCGGCTAAAAGGACAACTAAATGTGTTCCTTACCCCGCTACTGCTGGAGGGATTGCAACGGTGAGTGATGATAACATTTTTAAATTGTACTTTGTATTATACGGAAAGGGAAAACCCATTTGCTACCCATATATTTAGAAAGCCAGTTTTTATCAGGGCCTATTTTACATATATAGTCATGAATCATGAAATATTGCGCATTTCTCGTATTTCTGGAATATCAATTTATGGGAGCTTATAAAATATACAAAGACATTTATCAGGCTTTGTGACAAAACAAAATATAACTCAACTTCGCTTGATGCGCAAATGGGCGAGATTGGAACAGCTCAGCGCCGCATTGGCATTGATCTGACCACCCTGGTCCCGGGGGAATGAGTCCATGAGCTTCTTTATATACGTTTCTTTGGAGTTCTAATGGCATACAAATATATATTCGATGAGGAGATATGGAGTTACCCACTCACCTCGGGATCATCATCAGTTTCTTTATTCTCTCGTTTGCTCCGTTTATATTCGTATTCGAAATTTGAATCCTCCAGGGGACTGGGCTGCTCCTCAGCGAGTTTTTCCAGGTTCAACGTTTCGCTTTGGCTCCGATCCTCACGCAATCGACGTTCGCCACGATCGTCTTCACTTTGGATGCAATCGTTTTGCATTTGAATCAAATATCGTGGGGGATCGCGGGCATTACTGGCAATAAAACTGTCAAAGGAAATAGTTAACAAATATTTTATGAAAATTAAGAAACCACAAGATAGATTTACCTGTCGCTGTCGAAAAGAGGTTCCTGCTTGGTAAGGTCAGCATTCAGTGGCTTTGGCTCATCGTTGGATATTTTCTGATTTTTATCTTCTACATTATGAATTATCTCCTCATTTGCTTTCTCTGCTGCAGCTTGTTCTCTCTTGCGATGGGCAATCCTGGCAAGCCTATGGCGTTCATATGGATCTAGAGGAGATGGTTCTGCCACTGGTTCATTTTCGACCTGCTCAACTGCCTCTATATGTGACATTTTCTGGTCCTGATTTAACTGCTGTTCTTTTTGATGCAAATTAGCTTGATGTCCATCATCAAAGTTTGCCTGATGTTTAATTCCCAAGCCTAACTGATATTCCTGATCATAGTTATACTGATTTTCCAAATCCAAGTTGGTCGGATGTTCCTGCTGAAAATGATCAGGATTTCCAAAATCCATTTTAAGTTGTTGTTCCTGGTCTAAACTTATCTGATTCGATTGCCTTACATTGACCGGATTTCTTAGCTCTAAGTTAGTGGGATGTTCTAGCTCAAAATCAGCCAGATAATCCTGATCAAAGTTGACCTGATCTTCCTGTTTTAAATTTACTATGTTTGCCTGCTCCGAGTTTCTGTGATTATCTAGTTCAACACTTTCCCCATATTCGTGATTCAAATTCGCTTGACTTTCCTGCTTTAAATTTGAGTGACTATCTAGTTTTATCCCTTCCAGGTTAGCCCCATAATTACTTTCCTGCTTTAAATTTGTGTTACTATCCATTTTCGGGTCTTCCAAGTTAACCTCATAATTACTTTCTTGCTTTAAATTTGTGTTGCTATCTAGATTCGTCTCTTCCAAGTTAGCCCCATAATTACTTTCTTGATTTAAATTTGAGTTACTATCCAGTTTCGTGTCTTCCAAGTTAACCTTATAACTACTTTCTTGCTTTAAATTTGTGTGACTATCTAGTTTCGTCTCTTCCAGGTTAACCCCATAGTTACTATCTAGCTTCGTGTCTCCCAAGTTAATCTCATAATCCTTCTTCAAGTTAGATTGATGCTTCTGGTCTGAATTAATCGGATTGTCTTTCTCAAATTCAGACTGATGTTCTTGTTCCGAATTGACCACCTGATTCCCTGGTCCTATATTAACCTTAGGCTCAAACTCGGAGCTCGATTGATCTACACGTGAGGACTGATCCAAGTTAGTGTCCCCAAGATTGAAGGTTTCATCCAATGGTTCTCCTTGACCATTCATTGCTGGCATCTCCTCATTAATCTGCTCTAAACCAGTTAACTCTTTCCCCGGACCATATTCGGCTGGAGCATCCACTTGCTCTTCCTGAAGATTGCTTCTGCTCTGCTTTCCTCTGGATCGCCTGCTGGCGTGGCACAGGAAATCATCCGCCTCGCATTCGAAGTCGTCTTTGGGTTTCTTGCACTTTTTGTTCTTGGGCTTTGGGCATTTGGTAGTGTCATTTATCATATCATCATCCATATAGCCACCCGATTTTGACTTGCAGTTCTCGTTAACCGGTCTAGTGGCGCACATTCGAGTGGTTTTCGGCACGCATGTAGTTTTCTTTGGGCAGCGCTTGGTGGTCGGGCAGGTAGGTCGCTTGGAGCACAGATTAGGCTTAGCTTCATCGGAATCCTCCTCATCCCGGCAGCCATCGTCGAGGGGTGAGTTCACGGAGCGGAGATCCTGCTTGCGTTCGGGGGCCTTCGCTTGTCTAACCTGGGTTCTTCGACTCGCTTGCTTTGAAAGGTTTCTGCCGGTGACAATGGAAGATCATCTGGCTTTATTACTTACCGTCTGAGTCAGCTTCTACATCTCGACCGATATGCTCATCAAGCAGCTTATCCAAGGAATTGAGATCATCTAGAGAGAGATCTTGAAGGCTTTCCTGAACCTCGGCGTCAGTAAGGCCATTTGTTAAATCGGGATAGTCGGCTGGATCGGACAAGTGAGCAGTCAAGTCGCTTGGTTCCTTGGAATTTATCTGGGATTCCTGGAGGGCCAAAAGTGAAAATGGTGAAAATGCCATCCACCATTTACTTACCACAGGAAAAGCCTTAAGTAACAAGGGGTTAACACTGCAAAGTAAGAAGATCCCAAGCAGAAACATTTTATTTCCATAAAAATATAGGTTTGTAGATTTGAGCATTATTTCAAAACCTTCTAAGATTTTTAGCAATGGGGTACATATACACACATATGGTTTTGTCTTACTCCTTTTCCAACCAAAGATTTCCCCTTCCCGCCTAAATTATTATAACCCTGAAGAATACAATTAGTTTATAAACAATTTTAAAAATCCGCAATTTATTTGTATTGAGTAATCTTTCAACGATTACCTTGTCAACATAATCATACGGTTTCCTTTACAGGAACTGATCCGGTGGTCAACTTCGTAACACAAAATCGAATGGATTTTCTTCAATTGGGTTGCAACTTATTTTTAACCTTACACCTAGGCCTTGATATTAACTCTTCTGTTTGGGTGCTATTTTTTTGGCCAGCGCCGTCTGTTGGTCGTTGGTCTTCTTTTTGGGTTTCTTGGCCTTCTTGATACCGTCGACTTTCACGCCCCGGTACTCGGACTTCTTCTTCAGACCCCCAGTTGCTGCTCCCTTGGTTTCCTTTGCCGCCGTACCGTTCTCCTTGCCCTTCTTTTTGTCCAGTCGCTTCTTAGCGCCCGCCGAGTTTTGTTTTTTTGCTTTGCTCTTTGAGGGAGTGCTGGAAGCAGCGGAGGCGGCGGCAGCGTCACGCACTTGTTTGGCACCTAGTTTCTTGACCTGATAGCGCTCCACGTTGATGGGCCTGTCGTCCAGAAGGGTCTGATTTAGCTCAAGAGCAAGGCCCACGGCATCTGGTTTCTGGAAGCAGACGTAGGCCACGCCCTTGCAGCCCTTATCGCCCTCCTGGAGGCAGCGAATGTAGTCAATCTCGCCGCAGCTGGAGAAGATCTCGCGCAACTTCTCCTCGTTGGCAGCTGGGTGGATAGATTTTAAGTGAGCATTAAGTTAACACAACTCCTTGTTTCTTGGCTTACAGTATTTAAGGCTGCCCACAAAAATGGTGCGCTTGGCATCCTTGTCGCTGGGCTGGTCATCCTTTCCCTGGCCATAGCCTTCCGCCTTAGCCGCTGGAGTGACTCGCAGGTGATTCTCTTTGAAGAGTGTGCCATTTAGAGCCAGCGCCTGCTGGGCAATCTCGGGATTCGCAAACACCACATAGGCATTGAGGGAACCGGCTGCCTTGCGCTGCTTGTGCTTAAAGAGCTGCTTGCCACCGGCGGTGCGCAGCCTAATGGATTGGGTCGTACCATATGGCTGGAAGAGCTTAATCAGCTGGACGCGCTTGGTGTTGATGGGCAGATTGCCCACAAACACGGTGGCTGCTTCATCCTCAGGATTCCGTTCCCGCTTGATACCATCTGTGGGGAACAAAATAAGAGGTTATTTCTTGTAATGATTGGGTTAGTGAATGGACTTAATGTTACCTTCTTTCTTGTTATTGGCCTTGGCCTTCTTGGTCACCTTATCCTTGGGATTAGGTGAGGCAATCTTAGTCTTGGCTCCACCTTTCTCCTTCTTGATAGCCTTTCCTTGAACTTTGGCAGATGCTTCCGGTTCCTTCTTGATAACTTTTCCTTCAACTTTCACCGATGCTTCCGGTTCCTTTTTGATATCCTTGGGGACTAGTTTATTTTGCTGCTTCTTCAGCTTCTGGGCCTGCTTCTTGGCCTTCTTTTTCTCGATCTTGGCCAGGTCTTTCGACGATAGCTTCTTGGGACTCTCCTGGACAGCGGCCTTTACCTCCTCCTTGGGCAGTTTGATCGCCTTCTTATTGGGCTTGATTTTTGATTTCTTGCCTACTTTGCCATCCTCCGCCACGCCGGGCTCTTTTTTAATCGGCTTTAATTCATCTTTTTTTAATTCTTTGGTCTTTGGTGTTTTCATTTTGCACAAGTAGCTCCTCCTGATATCGATAATATGTTATTTTTTTCATACACGTGTTGGAATAATATTTTTTAAATACCATATTTATCAAATATACCAAAACTATTACAAACGGCCACGCTTGAATGTGAGGTGGGTGGGTGTCTTCGCTATGCCAGGAGAGTGTATTCGCTACTGTTGACCGCCAGTCAAATGTCAAATTCACCAGAACAACATAGCTTCAGCTGTTAAAAATACATTATTTATTTATTTATATTAAAGTAGTTTAAAGTACGAACTTAAGAGACGAACATAGTATGGTTATAGTAATTTAAATCAATTAGTAATCAAGTTGTTTTCTTTATAAATATTCTAACATTTTTTATGAAAAGCCTAAGACAAGTTGGATAGTTTTGATCAAGATTTCAAAGGAAGTCTGTATATCATCTTGTTCATCTATCTCAATAAGATTAATCCATTTACGGGTTAGTTCAAAATAGGACAGGGCTATCCTGATTTATCCAATAAAACATAGTATCCGGAAAAGATCGCTAATACTTTAATTATTTTATGAACAATTTTACCCTTAAATATATTATAAAACGTATATATTAATTTAAAAAATAACGTTCCGCATCCTATTAAAAAATGATAAAATATAAAAAAATTATAAATAAAAAATAATAGAAGTTGTTAATATTTAATTGTTATTTTTCTCAATTCCCAGAATGGTGGAAGCAGCTGTCCCAACTATTCAATCAATGCACTTGCTCTCGGTGGTGAACTTTATCCACACCTCCTGCATTGCCAAGGTGAACAACGACAACATCCTGAAGCGGGACCAGAGTCTGAGCTATTGGTCCCAAGTGCACTCCAACTCCAAACGATCCACAACTGAAAGGCACCTCCAGGGACCCGGGGACTCTTTCCTCAGTGATGTCTACGAGGAGAGTATCTCGACCAAGACTCAGGGACTGATTGTGCTGCCCAAGGTCAGCATTACCATGCTGCAGTCCTCCATTGTGGAGGAGATTATATCAGTGGCTGCGTTGGATAATGTGCAAGTAAGGATAGCAAGGATATATTCTTTTAAATTAGGGAGTTTATAACCATTCCTTTCTTATACTCAGGATCTAAGCTGCGTCTCACTGCTGACCTTCTACATGGAGGGCATTTCCACAAAGTTCCACCTGGGTAAGACGACGCGCGCCTCCATGCATAACGTGTATATCCAGCAAACGGTCCAGTCGGGCAGTAGTAACAAGAAGGGTGGCATCATGAAGGGCACTCGCGCCCTTTTGGCACATCTCTCATCGCAGACGCGACCCGACAATGTCCAAGGAGAGCCCATCCTTATCGAGACATCGGAAAAGCAGTTGGAAGAGCTGGTCATCACACTGGATATTGGAAGAGCCCATGCTCAGCTGCGACGCCTGAAGACCGAGGGCCAATCCTGCACTCAGGACTCACCCATCATCGTCACCGCCATTCCAGAACACAAGAGCAAAGTGCTGTTTGAATGCCTTAAAATGCCAGAAAGCACGGGCATCGAAAGCATTGGCTACATTATGTTCGAGTGTGGCTTGGAGGGAGTGGGTGTGAAGATAGTAAAGCGTTCGCATTTCGAAAAGTCCGAGAACAGCAAGGAGGAGCTAGCTGAAATGGCAGGAGCTGGTGCAGCTGGAGGAACTTCCGGTGGCGGTTTTAATCTTAATGACCTGGTGGGCCAAGGAGACGGAGCAACATCTTCCGGAGATGGCGGAGCCACTTCAAAGGCTGAAGCTGCCTGGAGACTGATAACTAAAAAGCCTCCAACTCCCAAAACTCCCAAGGAGAAGTTTCAACCAGCTTCAGACAGCAATATTGCGGGAGACAGTTCCTCTGCAGCTGAACAAAGAAAATCCACACCCAAACCACCAGATGAAGATGTGGAGAAGGGAACCAGTACATCGAACGCTCCGCCTGGAGCTCAAAAACCAACTGCAGCAACCAACTCCAAGGATAACTACGACAAGGTTTTGTCCAATGTCAAGGAAACGGATAAGACTTCCTCTTGTGTGATTGAACTGAAAGCGGTTTGGTTTAACTTTGCCGCTCCACCGTGCGTGCCTATTACTCGTAAGATCGATCTGACGCGACTGGACTGGAATCTTCTGAGCACTGCCTCACCGGCAATTACGGCGTGGATGAATCCCAGCAATCGACTGGCAATCAAGATCGTGTCCCTCATGAAGGTGCTTCACACAAGACAGACGGCAGTGGCTGCTTGTCTTATGGCCGAGGCCATGGATAACGAAAAAATCCAGAGAAACCCCAAAATCAAGAAGGTAACAAAAGAGGTATAAAGGTTTTTTATACTATGCTCTATCCTGTAGACCCCTGATCTTTTAAAGATGATATACTAAAGTATATAATTTAATATCCTTACAGAGTCGATACGCCAATAACTACACGCTGCTGTCGAAGACGCTGCAGGAGGATCCCAGTTGCCAGCTGTGCTACATCATGCAGAAGTTGGTTCTCGACGAAGGTGTTCAGAGGATTGAGTCGATCTTCAAGCAACACGATGTTCCACATCTGAACACTCTGCGACAGGTTGGTTAAAACCCTTCAAATTACTTGTTACGAGTAATTAACTTTACTTCTCTCTAACAGGGGATCATTGTGCTGAGTCGACAGTGGAAGAACACCCTTTACAATCCCATTCTGTTTGAGCACCAGTACAAGAATAAGCTGGCCCGACCCATCAACGTGACCTTTTCGTTCCCGCAGAACGAGGAGGAGGCGGAGAACGATGAGTGCGAAGGTGATGTTGAAATGGGCGCCTTTGCAGGCGTCGGCGAGAATCCGGAAGAGAGTGAGAATGCTTTATTACTTGGGCAAACACAGCATCATCGAACTCACATTGGTATTTTTTTGATTAACGCTCTCCTGCCCGCCGCCTGTGGCGGGTGGTTATCTCCTTTTAACCTAGTTATATGTATAGTTCTAGACTCTTTCTATATTTCCCCTTTCCTGTTTGATGCACTTGTTGATCGTTTGTTAACCAAGATAAAAGATTGTGTCTGCGTGTGTATGTTGCTTTGATCTACCCTATATTTCCTTTCTTTTCCTCTTCTGTATATACTCTTATCACACAAATGTTATCCACCGCTTTGAGTGTTCACCACCTCATATTGTTTAAAGCTTTGCGTTTGCATTATACTACAGACCAATACAACTCTTCTATCCTTTCTGGCTATTACTATATCTATATCTATGGAACTAAATTTAAAAATAAGTATGTTGTACACTAAGCGAAGAATAGTATGTATGGAGCTTCTAATCTTACTTCTACCTCCGGATCCTTCAAGCTTCTTCGTTCAGTGTACAACTTCCCAAGAAGAGTGCTTTCTTGAAGAGTGCTTGACCTATATTCATAATCTTCCTATTCTTACGTTTGTCTAATGACTTTCCTCTATAGAAAACAATCAGTACGGAGGAGTACCTTATGGTCATGAGGGTGGAAACCATGGAACCCACTCCCAGCGATCTACTTCCACTTCGCCAAATATACACCATCCTCGTCGCGGGTAAGTCTTACATTTTTGTTTGCTTACATTGTATCATTACACCTCATTAATGTCCTGCTTGTGATCTGTTCTTTTCTCCAAAAATCATCCGTGTGCATCAGCTTAAATAAAGTGCACAGCAAAGCCTCGAATTATTCACATGGCAATTCATCTCGTTCCAGCATTCAGATGCTGCCCATTATTTCTGGGCTGGTGGAGAAGCAGGTTCCGGAATTCGGTTTGTATAATTGGATTTACAAAATCTTCGCAACGGTTCGATATTTGATGTTATTCCTCCTCAGAATACGGTGCCTTGCAGGAAGGCTCCTTGAGCTCGACAAACTCGGTGAACAAATTCTGGCTTGGTGCCGAGAACCACAAGGAGGATTTGTACTTCTGGATGGCCAAGCAGCAGGATAACAAGAAAAAGCACTTCACCGAGAAGGAAAACGCTCGTCCTGCTCCGCCAAAACTGCATGGACATGCAGGACAAACTCGCAGTGGCATCATGCAGGATTCCATTAAGCTGCTGGATGCCCATCTAATCTTTGAACCACTGCTTACTTGCTTGGGAGTGATGCCGCAGCAGATGATCAACAAGTTTTCCAATGCTGACATATCTTCCCTGGAAAACTTTGGCACCAATCTGTCCCTAATCGGCACTTTTGATTCCATTCGAGTGGACATTGTGGTCAGCGAGGCTGGTGATAAAAAGAATTCATCCCAGAAACCATCTAAGCTGAACAAGAAATCAAACGGCGGCAGAGCCTCCATAATGATGGACACTCCTTTGTTCCTATGCGAGCGAGTGGGTGTGGAGTTGGAAGTTTTGAAAATGTCCGATGGCATGGTGGATCAGGCACGCCAGAATGTCATTTATATGTCGCGTCGCCAGCTGAAGAAGCACACCAGCACTGTGATCAATTTCAGCCTCAATGTGAGATTCATATCGCAGCAGGTAAGTGAAAATCCTAACAAGAAACATACAAATACGGTAGCTTAAACTATTTTGCATATCAGGTTAATATGCCGCTGCTGAGACTGCTTCATCAGATCTGCAATATGTACCAAAACGTAAAGGATGCCCAGAACGAGTTCCACGACCAGCCTGAGCTGAGCAAAAAGAGCCACACCAAGGATGAGTGCAGTTTGGGTAGGAATCTTAAATACCACAATCATAAATCAAAAAATAAACTAAACTTTCTATATCGCAGCTTCGGAACCCACCGACATTCTGCCGTTTAACTCGCTTTCAGAACGCTTTGGCCATGGGGAGAGCTACTCTGATGAACGTTACGACAAGTTCAACGAAACAATGCCCACCATGCTGGCAAGACCTCGTCCGGGTGGCTTGGCTCCCATTATCCAACTAACACCGTCTCCAAATGCGAAGAACAGGCCCCAGAGTTTCGCCCAGAAACTTCGCTCCACCGGGAAATCCGTGAAGGGCAAACTGGGTTACACTAATCTGAATGAGTCCAGTTCATCGCCCTTAAGGGATAGCCCGACATTGTCGATTCACGAACAGAACATCCTTAAAATGACCACGGAGTCAAAGGCTTCGCTTAATGGGGCCTGTGCCACCAGCGTCAGTGGGGACTACCAGAACACTCTGACCAAGGCGGGAATGCCAACGATGGTTCCGATGTTGGAGACACCAAATTGCTGGAAGACCATCTATCACTTATTGGAGTTATACGGAACAATGCCGGAGACGAAGACTGTGGTCCAAAGAAGCTCGTTGAACGAGCACAAGAGCAAGTCAGCGGGTTTCGCCCACGATGAGGATGACTTGGCCAGTGCTCCAACACCTCTGCCGCAGCACCGAGAGATGCTGCTGGTGGATGCTCCCTCACAGGAACGAACGCGTCTCATTGTCTTCGGGGTGGCCAAGATCCACAAAACTCGTCTGCTGGCCACTCTTTCTGGTCTTAAGTTGGAGTCGGAGATTACCACTCTCAACAGCACGGCCACCTGGAGAAAGAAGGCTCGTCCTGTCTCCTTGGAGTGCTCCCTTACTGGACAAGTGGGACGAGCCATGATTGTGCTGCTTGAGGGAGTGGCTCCCAGTCAACAGTAAGCACTATTTTATTTTATGGTTATAATAGATATGTTATAACTTGTTGGTATTCTTTTCAGAACCGTGGTGAAGGTAACCGTGGGCAAAAGCCAGACTCTGTATTCAAGCCTTTCGAAGCGGGGAAAGGATAAGAACAGCGGCCTGCTGTCGATTGGAGCTGTTAACATAGACATTCCGCAACATCCAGTGGCTCTGCATGGAATGATGACCCGAAGTTCTAAGCAATTGTCGTCCACGCTCCAGGAGTTGCGAGTGAAACGTAATTCTGGTCGCTCCACTCTCCGTTCGCATACGGCCGAGGAGCCAGAGTCGCCGTTCCATGCGCGCAACTCTGGAGGTGCTAGCAGTGGCACGGGAGTGGCCAGTGAGATGCGGGAGCGGACTGTTTCCGGCGGAGCAGGAGCCCATCAGCAACCACAACAGGCTGCTCGTCGGGCAGCTCACATGGCACAGTCGAGGACGGCAACAGCTCAGCACCAGAACGGATTGCTCCAGCCTCTGGTCATGCAGTTCAACGTGCTGTTGCAGAGTCTGTCCATCAATGCTGCTTTACTTCCCTCGCTACAGGCCCAGTACCGCATGAATCATGTTAGCTCGATGGGAGTAACCGGCCAAAGGGCGAAGTTTGTCATTGATCTGCCCACGCACACGCTCAGCTTTAATACGAAGATTCAGGTGAGTTTAAAACTTATTTTTTGCAAAAAAATCATTTAATAGGGTGCATTTGTATAATTAGATTTTTTTTTAAGATCTATAAAAGCATTTTTAATAGATTAGTCTTGAGAAGAGTATGTGACAGAATAATAGATATGAATAACGAAAAAGCTGTTAAAATGCTATTAAATTGGCTGAACTTCCTTCTTAAGCCATGACAAAGTAAACTCGTCACCTTCACGAGACAAGATTGGGGAAAGAGTATCCCAAACTTCCTGATGATAGCTATTGAGTAGCTTTACTTCCACGTCGGAAAGGAGTTCCTTTTTGATCATTTTAGTTTGCTTTGGGCACATTGTGATAGTTTTGAAAGTCAGGGCGCCACGCTTGGCGAAATTGTGTGCCACTTGGCCGGGTACAATCTGCACAATGTCCTCGACACGGATTCCAAACTCTCCATCCTGGTAGAAGCCAGGCTCATTGGAGATAAACATGTTCGCCTGGAGACCGGGGTCGTCGGGCATCAGACGAATTCCCACACCCATTGGACCTTCGTGGACATTCAAGAAGTGGCCCACTCCATGGCCAGTGCCGTGCCCGTAATCCAATCCAACGTCCCACAGGGCCTTCCTCGCCAGAGTGTCCAAAACTTGGCCCTTGACCTTAGCCGGGAATACGGTGGCGCCGAAACTAAGTTGTCCCTTCAAAACGCGTGTGTAGGCTTCCTTCTGGAATTCGGTGGGTTCACCAAAGTGCAGAGTCCTCGTTACATCCGTGGTGCCATCCAAATATTGAGCTCCCGAATCGCACAGATAAATCTCCTTGTCGTTTATCTTTCTATTGGTTTCCTCCCTCGGGTGATAGTGAATAACAGAGCCATTGGGTCCCGAAGCACTGATTGTGGTGAAGCTGAGGCCCATGTACTTATCCTTCGTCGAGCGGAAGGACTCCAACTTATCGGAGCCAGATATTTCATCGACATCCACACCCTTTTTCACTTGATCTTCTAGCCAGGCAAAATACTGACAAAGAGCCACTCCGTCGCGAATGTGACTGTTGACGAAGCCCTTAACCTCGACTTCGTTTTTGATGGACTTTAGCACACAGATGGGCGTTACCTCCTGAATTCTACGTGACTTGGGTATCAAAGCAGTTAGGTAGTAGCTGCTGGTCGGTGCTATCCAGATCTTTGACTCCTTGGTCGACACAATCTTGCTGATTTCCAAACCAATTGAGGCGTAGGGCAAAACGCTGATCTGTACATTGTTCTCTGTTTGGTGCTGGGCAAAATCGTTGGGTAATTTACCAGAGTCCACAAAGAGCAGTAGTTCATCGTGGGTGACAACCAAGTAGGAGAAGAAGACGGGGTTGAAGTCAATGTCCGACCCGCGAAGGTTCAAGAACCAAGCGATTTCATCGAGGGCACTGACGACCAGGGCGTCCACATTCTTATCCTTCAACTGGTTGCGCACCACCTCCCACTTCTTGGCTATTGGCACGCCGGAATACTCCAGTTTCAGGGGGATAATCTTGTTGGAAGTCTGCGGGGGCTGATCCTGACCCCAGACCTCGTCGATGAGGTTGTTTTCAATGGGCACCAGTTGGCATTCCGCAGAGATAAGCTCCGTTTCGATGGGTTTCCACACGCGGAACGATAGCAGGCGGGGATCCACGCCCACAAAGCTGCCCTTGGGCAGATTCTTGGCCAGCCAGGCGCCAATCGAGGGCGTGGTGGTCAGACCATCTCGCATTAGCACCCAATTGGCGTCCAACTGCTTCTCCGCCTGCTGATAGTACCGCCCGTCGGTCCAGAGCAGGGCGGTATTGGTTGTAATCACCGCCGTGCCAGCGGATCCATCGAATCCACTGACAAAGGAGCGCCGCTCGTCGTGCTGGCACTGGTACTCCGACTGGTGGGCGTCGTCCGAGGGCACTATGTACGCCGAAATGCCGCTGGAGTCGCCCCCTTGGGCCCGCAGCATCAGCTGCCTTAGCTTGGCCAGAATTTCGGTGGTGCTCCTCTTCATCGTGGTTCCTCAATGGCAGCAAATTGTGTAGCTAAAGGGGAAAAAACACAGAAAATCTAATCAACCTTAGGACGATAAGATTATCAAACGTAATCGGGTTCTTTATCCCATAAACACATAAATAATCGAGAAAATATAAGTGTCACTCACACAACGACTGTCAAACTATTGTTTAAATTACAGGGTGCGATTTATTTTACAACCGCTGCTTGTTTTTAATTTTTTTGCAATGACACATTAAATTTAGCAATTTTTGGCAGTTCAAAAATGCTGCATATTAGGTCATAAAGCTTATTTGCTTTTAGTATTTTTTGCCTTTCTCTGAAAACGGTAACACTAAAAGCTGAGGATTTTTAAACTAGGGCGCGAAATGTAAAATCATTTTCTTAGTACTTATTTAGTTGGTCCTTAAAAAAAATAATATTTGAATAACATTAAAACATCTATGTTTCCTTTGCAGAACGAGATGAACCTGCCATCGGAGGCATGCATTGGCCTGCCACCTGTTCACGTCCTGGCAGAGTATATTCCAGATCACCGCCAGGATCACACTGAAACCGTCGAGGGCATTGTCCTGCGCCAAGGTGGCTACGTGAATGCCAGTGCCGAGATCGGGGAGTTCGAGCGTTGTCTGACCACCGATCTCCTAAACCATTTGGTATTCGTACAGAAGGTGTTTATGCGGGAAATCAACGAGGTGCTGCAGAAGGTCTACGGCGGCGAGAAGCCCGTTCCCCTGTGGACAGAGGAGAGTGGCGATAACTCTGGAGCAGTGCAAGAATCCTCTCTGAAGCGTATCCTTTTCTCCATTAATATTTCGATGAAGCGCATCCAATTGACGGCCACCACGCCCTGCTCTTCGGCGGTTCGTTTTGAGACCGGAATCCTCGAACTGCAACTCTCGAATAGGGTCAAGAACCTGGGGGATATGAGCAATCGCAAGCTCTTCTTCAAGGCGCACATCGATTTCAATCTATCCCTAGGACAGATCATACGTAATGTGATATTTGACGAGGCAGAACCCGAGTTCCAGCAGTATGCATTCTTCCACACCACCATCAATTTGAGGAATGCCTTCCAAGACGAGCTGCTCAACGAGGATAAGGAGTTGATTCTGCTAACCCTCAAGAGACCACTGGTTTATGTGCAGCCCATTGCCGTGGACAAGGCCATCCTCGTGTGGCTCAACTACAAGAATGCATACGAGTATTGGGCGGAAAAGCGTGCTAATCTCTGCAATGAACACACCCAGCACAGCCAATTCGGTCAGTACTCGGGGCAGCATCAGAACCAGAATCTGCAGAACCCACAGGTGTTCGATCGCGTGGCCTTTGGCCAGATAGCCGGCTCCAATTTGTCTACGCTCTTCCTTCAACTCACGGTGGAGGACATGGGCATCTGCCTACCTTTGAAACAGGTCAACACCACGGTAAGTAATCAACTTGGCTAATGTTTTATTCGCTTTCTAAAAAAAAATATTTTTTTTTGCAGACATTCGGCTCCCGATCCTATCAAGACTTTGATGCCAAGGGCGCTGTTGTGATCACGCTGGAGAACACGATAATCTCGGCCTGCAACTCGGGTGCTTTGGTGTCCAAGGGCAAGTTTCAGGGGTTGTGCCTGCGTTTTGCCGATGACTTTGAAACCAATCTGGATGACTGGAAACCCAACAGTGCAGAGCCAATCATGAACGTGTGCGTTGTGTCCGAGGGAACCTTTGAGGTCTGTTCCCGCACCACAGCTGCCAAGAAGGGCGAGAACGCCAAGTGGCTGCTTAATGTGAAATGGCAAATGGAGGGTGTAGACATCCATCTGGATGTCAATATTGGCAAACAGCTCAGTTCATTGGGTCACACTCTTACCATGCTCACGGGCTTCGAGGAGGATGAGACTCAAATGGAATCACCCGACAGCGATGAAGGAGATCAGAGCTGCAGGGATACATTTGTGCGAAGAAGAGGGGATTTCGATAACTTGCCATCGTTTGTTTTCGATCCCACAATTGATTCTAAGAAGCGTTCGTTCATGATGGAGAAGGAAATGGCCGAACAGCTAAAGATCATCAACGATCTACGCACTCTGGGAGCCTCACATAATACAGTGGCCCATGAGGAGAGGCGACTGCAGGAGTTGCAAGCCATTTGTTACAAGTATTTCCGCAGAGATATGATCCAGAAGTGGAAGAGACCTTCGCTGCGAAGGTCTCTGAAGAACTACGGTCGTTCGCATTCGTACATTGGAGCGGGATCGTCGGTAGTCGGTGTAGGTGTTCCCCAGACTATGGACAATGGAAGCTATGCAGGCAGAAGACTGGATACAATTGCATCCAATGATGAGATATCTAGCCTGCAGAGCACACCGGCATCCTGTCACTCCCGCAGTGCTTCCCTAAAACATACTGGGGGAGGAAATAATGCTCTCGGGAGAGTAACCTTTACGGAGGCCATGCGACAGACTTCACTACCCAATGCAGACACGGATACGGAGACGGCTGACAATGAGCTTGATTGGCGAGGTGACATTACGCCCAGTGAGATAGATGTGGACGGTACCTCCGTGGAGATGCGACGCAAGCATGGTCACGGTCAGAAACAACCGGAGCCTAACATCGACTTTGAGCTGGACATTAAGGTACTGGTAAACTCTGGAAAGTGCGTGCTGCATACAAAGGATACTGGAGAGGAGCGAGCCCAAGGATACGCGGGTGGGTCAGGAGCAGCTGCAGGCGGAGTACCTGCGTCGAGTGTAAAATCACACAAGCGGGAAAGGAGTATAGGAAACGATTGGGGCAGTCCAACTCCCTCGAGAAGACAGAGGGACAAGAGCAAGCTACGCTATAATGCCAACGCTTTGCTGGCCGATCTCACCATCTTCCACATCCCAGGATTAGATGTCAAGCTTCACTACCAATCAAAAACCTTGGCGGAGCAACTAACTGGAGATCAGGTGCCACAGGGTCGCCGAATGGGCAGCAAGCGAGCTACTTTGTGCGCCTGGATGACCCTACAAAGTATCCCAGAGGAAACTATCATATCACCTCATATTCTGGAATTCCTAGAACAGACTTTAGAGCCGATTCCTGCTCGACAATCCAGTAGTGTTCCACCAACTCCATCCCACAACACAGCCGTTAATCTGGACATACTGCCTGCCAACTATGTGACTTATGCTTCATTTCCGGTGGATGTTATAGTTTACTTCCATATGCAACCTTCTACCTTCAGATTTAGTTGTCTGCCAGTTTCAAGAGTGGAATGTATGCTCCAGCTGCCCAGTTTGGATATCGTATTCAGTTCGAAGCGAAGCAGCGACGAGGAGAACCCAGCACAGCCAGGAAATCATGCCCATCCGGAGCAGCAGCTGCCCACGGGTGGACTGAGTGTCACCGGCTGCCTGGCCGACTTTAATGTGTTCATCTTCCACCCGTATGGTGGCAAAAAGACTTCCAAGGAGACACAGTTTTCACCTCTGAGCGACAGTGAGAGGAAGGATTCGTTGAGTATCAATGTTGAGTTTGTCAAGTTCCACATCACGCGCTGCAGAAAGGTGTACATTGAACCGCTGCCCAGTTCCAAGAGATCGCTTGATCAATCGCGAGCCGTAATACGGTTCTCTACCATTGTGGATATTGGAAGTGCCAGTTTTAAATACGATATGAGGAGATTGACGGAGATTCTAGCATTTCCTAAGGCTTGGTATCGCAGGAGGATTGTGCGAAGGCTCTTCCTGGGCGATCTTAGTGTGCAACAGCAGCAGCAACAACAACAAAGAAATGGGGCAGAAACCCCCACTGGTTGCCCACCTGCAACACCAACGCCCAGTGAAGATGCCGGTAGGGCTAAGGATAAAATGCGCCTAGACTTTGATGGTCAGCCAACGCAGCAGCAGCAACTGGGACACTTTGGAGCTGTAAGACAACTGAAAAACCTGGGCAAGTCGTCCAGTGCCGAATCGTCCGGAACTCCTCCCTCTGAAAAGAACCAAATCACGGCCTGGGAAACACTGGTTATATTTGCAGTTAACTTCACTAAATTGAATGTGCAAATGAACATTGGTAATGTGTGTGGCAATGTTGTATGGCTCACGAAAGATTTTCAATCAGATGGACGCCTCTCCATCGGCAGCACTGGCTACAAGAACATGTACGCCGGGATATATCTAGGAGGATCAGCCCTAGATGCCAAGGGTGGTATAGTGGGAGGCAGCTTCGAGGTTAACAAGATTAACAAACGATTCCACATCAAGGAGGAGGCTGGCATGGAGCCCTACCACACCATGGGACTGAGTTTTATGGCCCTGGAGCTAAGACTAGACTACATGGGAACATCAGTGCTGATGACCCGGATTAGTAGCTTCTCTGCTGCCATGAAGGATGAGTGGCGCACTGCCTCACAGGCGGCAGCAGCTCCGTCCCATGGCAAGGATCAACCCAGAGCTCTGATCTTTATCCATGGTGATCTTAGCTGGGACCAACTGCAGATCATGATAAGCAAGTCCACAACCGCAGACCTGCTGAAGATGTACTTTAAACTGGAGGAGTTCTTCACGCAGCAGTTTAAGTCCTCCAAGAGGGTGTTCTCCAGTCTGGAGCCACGATTGCAGGATCGCACTGCCAGTATCAAGAGACGGCAGCAGCTCAAGAAGAAGCTGGCTAACGGAGAGCTCGTTGCTCCTGTTCAAATACAGGGTTTAATTGGCGAAAATACAGACGCATGTCATCACCGCCATTGGCAAAAGCCACTGGCGCAGGCCGTGGGTCTGGTGGTGCCTTCCCTAGTTACCCGTTTGCCACGCCATGGTAATGTGCTGGGTGGCACTGTCGAGCTCCGAGGGCAGAACATCTCCTTGGCCTGTTTCCATGGCATTAACTTCAAATCAAAGTCGTGGGCTCTGTTTAGCTTAAGATCCCCATCCATTAACTTTGCCACGGAGGCGCGGCAGAGCGAAGACGAAGTTCTGGTCACCCAGACACTCACCTCTTCTTTGGGACAGACGACAGAGGTGCAGCAACAGCAGAACCATTCTATGGCCATCGTCAGTCGCATCACCAGGAACATAATTTTCCCGCCTCAGTTCAAGACGCTTAATGAGTGGTTCCACTATGCTTTTGCTAACAGTGAAATTGATGGTGAGTTTATTGAGACTTTTGTTTAGAAAATATAAAATAAACCTTGTGTTTCTCCCCACACAGCTGTGGATCGCTTTCCAATGCTGGAATGCGAACGGGAGATCGCCTCCAATTCTATAGAACGAACACGGGCCTCCGGGAGTAGCAGC